GCCTTCTACGGTTCTGCTCCAGACTGCTCCTTGATGTTCTGAAGATTCGTCAATATCAGCAGTTTAGAAGCTCCCTAAATCCTCCCACAGAAACTAACTACACAGTAATAACGCTCCCATATATTCCATAACAAGTTTTTACCATGAAATAAACATTTTTCAACCCCCACCATGTATCATTTAGTTAGACTTAAGGTTTAACAATCAATCTATTCAATCAGAAACTATTTAGTTGAAAATTAATTTTTTTTCATTATTAAAATCTATTAACGTATACATCAATTGTTTTCTTCATTTATCCCTTTATTAAAAACAAAATTTAAAAAAATGTTTTTTAGCCTCCGATGCCTGAGTGTAGAGTTAGGGTCATAGAAGAGGCTTATAGGAAACCTTTTCTTAACCTATATTTAGATTATCTCAAATATTTATCCAAAGCATACTTCATTTTTTTATTTTTAAATTTACAGAAGATTTTAAGATGATAATATCTTAAACAATGATAAATCTCAAGAAAAGCAAAAAATGGGAGCTATATTTAAATGTTTTTTCTTTCTTTTTTCATGGATAAGTATTCTGATTCTTCAATACAAGCTTTCCGGGTAGAGCATAGTTTTCGATGTTAATCTTAATGGTCTTGTGGTGTAAAGAGAAGAAAATAAAAATCCTTGTTAGCAAATATTTACAGCGTGTTCGCTAGTTCAAACTGCAATTGGAAAATTTTGTTTGTTTGAACACAACACGTTGATATTTGGCTCATGTTTAGACACAACACGTTGATATTTGGCTCATGTTTGAACACAACACGTTGATATTTGGCTCACGTTTAAACACAACACGTTGATATTTGGCTCACGTTTAAGCACAACACGTTGATATTTGACTCACGTTTAAACACAAAACGTTGATATTTGGCTCACGTGTGAACACAACGCGTTGATATTGGGCTTACGTTTAAACACAACACGTTGATATTTGGCTCATTTTTAAACACAACACGTTGATATTTGGCTCATTTTTAAACACAACACGTTGATATTTGGCTCACGTTTAAACACAACACGTTGATATTTGGCTCATGTTTTAACACAACATGTTGATATTTGGCTCACGTTTAAACACAACACGTTGATATTTGGCTCATGTTTAAACACAACACGTAGATATTTGGCTCACGTTTAAACACAACACATTGATTTTTGGCTCATTTTAAACACAACACGTTGATATTTGGCTCACGTTTAAACACAACACGTTGATATTTGGCTCACGTTTAAACAAAACACGTTGATATTTGGCTCATGTTCAAACACAGCACGTTGATATTTGGCTCACGTTTAAACACAACACGTTGATATTTGGCTCATGTTTAAACACAACGCGTTGATATTTGGCTCATGTTTAAACACAACACGTTGATAATTAGCTCACATTTAAACACAACATGTTGATATTTGGCTCACGTTTAAACACAACACGTTGATATTTGGCTCATGTTTAAACACAACACGTTGATAATTAGCTCACATTTAAACACAACACGTTGATATTTGGCTCATTTTTAAACACAACGCGTTGATATTTGGCTCACGTGTGAACACAACACGTTGAAATTTGGCTCACATGTTAACACAACACGTTGATATTTGGCTCATTTTTAAACACAACACGTTGATATTTGGCTCATGTTTAAACACAACACGTTGATATTTGGCTCACGTTTAAACACAACACGTTGATATTTGGATCACGTTTAAACACAACACGTTGATATTTGGCTCATGTTTAAACACAAAACGTTAATATTTGGCTCACGTGTGAACACAACAGGTTGAAATTTGGCTCACGTTTAAACACAACACTTTGATATTTGACTGACGTTTGAACACAACACGTTGATATTTGGCTCACGTTCAAACACAACACGTTGATATTTGGTTCACATTTAAACACAACACGTTGATATTTGACTCACGTTTAACAGAACACGTTGATATTTGGCTCACGTTTGAACACAACACGTTGATATTTGGCTCACGTGTGAACACAACACGTTGACATTTGGCTCACGTGTAAACACAACACGTTTAAAAAAAATATTATTATTTTATATACGACATTTGGTTGCAAGGATTTAGGGATTGGAAAATTAGATTTTGTGGCAAAGACTCAATTCCTTTCTAGTATTATCTAAATAAAGAATTTGGTTTTAGCTACAAACTCAAAATTTTTAACCCCTTAGCTTTGCAATCTGAAGGTGTAAATTTTTGATATTTTTTAAACAGACTACTTGATGTAACTGCATTCTAAGTTTGAAATATCCATGGTCTACGAGACATAGAATTAGATAGATATAGGGATTAGAAAATCAGAGTTTGTGGCAAAAACTCAATTTTTCTTTCCTTTCTCATACTTTAGTGCATAAAATCTAAACTAGAGAAGCTAAGTCACAAAGTCAAATATTTGATGTCGCATACATTATCTTCTCTATAATGGAGTGTGCAAAGGACAAAGTTCTATGTACAATTGCCTATTTTATTAAGTAAAAGAAAAATATTTATTGCGCTTGAAATATTTTAATACTTAAAGCAAAGTAAAGGATTGAGTTTAGGAAGCTTGATAAATCAGGAGATGGTGTTGTTACCATTGAGGATCTCAAGGGAGTCTATGATGTCAAGGTAATAACCAGGGGCGGGCGGCTAAGGGGTTCCCCCTTCCGGACCACAAACAAGTTTTAGATAAAAATTATTTTATTTAGTTTCTAAAAATAGTTTTGATCTTTATAAAGTTTAACTCCTCAACACAATTTTCCATCATAGAGCTTATCTTTTAAACTGAAGTATAGTTCCCGATGGGAAAGAACAGTGTAAAAAATAAGAGTGACTCATTAAAAAAATGTTCTAGAACCATCTGAAGTATTTGTATTTTCTAGAACCATCTGAAATATTTGAATATTCTAGAACCATCTGAAGTATTTGTATTTTCTAGAACCATCTGAAATATTTCTAGAACCATCTGAAGTATTTGTATTTTCTAGAACCATCTGAAATATTTGAATATTCTAGAAGGATCCTTAATATTTGAATATTCCAGAAGCATCCTAAATATTTGAATATTCTAGAACCATCCTTGATATTTGAATATTCAAAAAGCATCTTAAATATTTGAATATTCTAGAACAATCTGAAGTATTCGAATATTCTAAAACCATCCAAAATATTTGAATATTCTAGAACCATCCTAAATATTTGAATATTCTAGAACCATCCAAAATATTTGAATATTCTAGAACCATCTAAAGTATTTGTATATTCTAGAACCATCCTAAATATTTGAATATTCTAGAACCATCCTAAATATTTGTATATTCTAGAACCATCCTAAATATTTGAATATTCTAGAACCATCCTAAAATATTCTAGAACCATCCTAAATATTTGAATATTCTAGAACCATCCTAAATATTTGAATGGTGACTGTACTGAAGAAGAATTGTATCTCAAGTTCTTAAACAACTTTGAGACCAACGGTATAACCGAAGAGGTAAAATTTTATTTTATTTTCACCAAACTTTAAAAAAAAATATATATACAATAAAATTGTTACTTTTCAGGTTGGTGTTCAGAAAGATGGAAAGGTAATTTTTCAAAATAAAAATCGAAAATAATTTAATAATTAGTTTCTGTCAGAAAACGTTCCGACTTCAGGATAATATGTATATATTTTGTTCTGATATAAAAATAAATATAAATCTGAATTACAACATAGTTATAGCATATCTAAAATATTCCTTAATATTTTTCAATTATTCTTATCAATAATTTGGAAAATTAGAGATGGGTTGGATATAACTAAATAATCTAAAAATCATCAAAATAAATTCATTTATAGTATAGTATTATTATAAATTCTTAACAATTTAATTTTTCCTCTTTCCACAAGAAAAAAAATGTCAAGAAATATAAAATCCCATTTTGATTTTTTAATCAGGCACTTTTCTATTGCCAACATGTGTTAGGCCGTTCATGTCAAAACGTCATTTTTTACATAATACTGTGCTGCGGTTTTATAATATGGACATAAAAAATAAAGTCTTTAAAGATTTATCAAATTTATTCATTTGATCCAGTAAATAATAAACTCTTTAAATCAATAATCAATCGAAAAAATATTTTCAGCGATGTTCTAAATAACCCAAACTAAGTTACCTATGCTGAATGCCCACCCTGAACTAACGAGAGAGAGAGAAGCATTCGGTTTCTTTTATTTGAAATCAAACATGTTTTCGTCTATAACTCAACAGTCTTTAGACTTACAGATTTGTTTATTTTATACTTTTTCATTCAAAATGTATATGCCAATAAAAAAGTATTTAAGATAAAAGGCTATAAAATTATGTATAAGGGGTCATATTTTGATCGAAAGTCACTGTTTTCTGAAATATTGAAAGAATCGTTAAATCCACGTGTGCCACAAGCTTTTTCTAATGTCAAAGACGACTTTGAAGTTATCAATCAATTCATACTATTCCAGGTTATTTAGACTATCACTATATAAGAAAAAAATTTGATTATATTCTAGATCACTAAAGAAGAGTTTATCGACTACTATCGTGGAGTAAGTGCCTCAGTTGATCTGGATGCATATTTCGATCTGATGATCAGAAATGCATGGAAACTTTAATTCAAGTCATCTTCAGTACACTGACATATTATCATACACAAGTGCTAAGGATCAATTCCATTTTAATCCGGAAATGGATCTGTTTCCGCAATTTTTTTTGGATTGATCATGGTTAGAAATAAGAAGCGTTTTTCCAATCATTTATTAGTCAACACCTGAGACTTGTATCTTTTTGGTTTATATTTTGCCACCTTATTCCGTATCCGTAGATCCCAATATCTTTGTGGATCCGGATCCGGAACCAAGGAGCCAAAATATTGCAGATCCGGATCCTAAGCACTAACATACACAAACTGCACATTTATTGCAATTTTACTTTAAATATGTTTGTTGAAAACTTATCCTTTTAAATAAAAAATGTCCATTTTAATTTTTTTAATTAATGTGTGTTGAGGATTAAAAATAGGTAAAACTAAACCAACTTATTAAGTCTTTCTATATAATAAAGCTCATCGCTCATATATTTGTTTCTATGTAGCTATAGCCGGTCAAACTGCTGGACCGAATGGGCTAAAATTTGTAAAGGGAACCCATGGGTGGCCGGGGAGTAACATAGGCTAAACAAATTTCGACATTATTTTCTCAAAAAATCAGATTTAAAAAAATCGATTTAAAAAAAATTCCACGGGAAACGCCGGACACTTCAGTTAGTATGCAATTATAAAGCTCTTTCCTCATATATATGTATATATATGTAAGCTATAGCTGGTCAACGGCGAGACAGAATGGGCTGAAATTTTTTGAGGAGACTCCTGGTTTCCTGGGGGTAACATAGGTCAAAAAAAAATCATATTTTTTCTTCAAAAAAATTCGATTTTAAAAATTTATTTCAGCTAGTGAATTCTATTAATCCTCTTTAATCATCTGAAATTTTGTGTTATGATTGCGAACTTTAGATCAAGCCTTGTGCAGATTGCAGATTGCAGATTGTGCAGATAGCAGATTGCAGATTGCAGATCATACGGATTGATTAAATTCCTCTTCGATATACAGTAAAGGTTATACCCTGCAGGGAAAACTTTATACTTGAAGGATCTCAAGAACTTATTTTCAAATTTTATACTTGTGATCAAGCGTACACGATTAACGATATATCACACGAAAGTTTCATCCTTTAACATTCTTTATTAATTAATTAAACTTTTTGATGAAGTTTCTTCAGCTCAATAAATATGGTGAGAGAGTTTATTTTTACAAAAAATATAATTGCAATATACTCATTATTCTCAATATCTTGCAGACTGCTAGTGGTAACCTATGATATATTTCAAACTTTACCCAATAGATTAGCAGAATTCATATTAAAGGATTAAAAATATCTAGTTAAAGACAGATGTTTAGTTTCCGCTCATTACATAGGCATATTGCACATTATTATTTTAACAGGTTAGAATCTGGTGCAGAAATGGCGCAAAATTATTTAATGACCTTAAACTGAGTTAAAATCAAGAAGTCACACGTTAACATAACACTTTAACAAAATTTCCAAAAAATCTTCATATTTTCGAAAAAAAATAAAATCTTTGTTTTCTTGGTACAAATGTAACTGAAACCAAAAAGGTCAACATTTACAATACTTATATATTTAGAAAAAAAAATGTGAAGACTAATTTTTTCAAACATTAGTAATTTAAATAATATTATGTTTGTCTTTTTAAAATCTTAATCATTAGTCCACCCCTACTCGTGTGCATAAAAGTAACAAAATGAGATATGTATATGATGAAACACGACTTACGTCACTCTTCTAGTCAAATAAAAAATTTTGTAAATAAAAACCTTAAAGTGTTCAAATCTCTAGTTTTTTCTTCAAAAAATGGAATTTCTCTTTGATTCATTAAAATGGTAAATTTAAGGAACAACTACTTTTTTAGAAAATTTGACCGGTTCCGACCACGGAGTAAAGATTAAAGAAACATGGAGAGAAAAGACACCGAGTAAATTCAAAATAGATATGGAGAGAATCGAGCTGGTTCGAACGGTTTTTTTTGCTAACAACCTTAATTTCTATATGAAATATCTTGATATATGTCGTATTTGTGTTTGTTTTTTCTTTTATCATCCTATATAATTTAGAAAAAGTAGCGAAATGTAACCTTTCTTTAATCTGTGACATGTATTCAAAATTTCATTGGAAACCATTGTGTCTCGATTTCCTCTCTATTTGATCCTACTACGTCGTTGATTCAATATAAATATGTGGACCGCTAAATTCATGAAGAAGTTGAAGTGATTCATGTTAATCCAAAACATAAATTAAAATTCAGTTTTTATTTCTAAATCTAACAAATATTTCTGTCAGGTTGTACTATGCACATTTTGAAAAAAAGGTTTTTATTTTAAAACGTGCTTCGGCTTGTAAATTCTGTTGCTAGGTGCTAGGGTATCCTAAAGAGGGGCCGCCGCATATTATCGGGAGGGAGGGNGTGTCTGGACTCAAATTCTTCTCCCAGGTTTTCCTGGTTTGCAAGCTAGACCCTTTCCCGCGCTCCTGCAAACGGTTTTTGCGGTCCAGAAAATCTTTGCAAATTTAGTTTTATGCAGAGGCTAGTGCTGACTACAAGCAACAACAAACGTACGCATTGATCATTCAGAAATCAGCATTGTTGGTGGTGGTTTAGAGTTATTGTTCCAGATCGCTTTGCATGTAATTTTAATAATCCATGCCCCCCTCTCTCTCCGGGGGGTTTACATAGGAATTTCTCCAGGGGGGGGCTAATATTTTTTTTCCTACTTGGAGCATCCGTTGAGCACTCAACCCCCAAACCCCCCAGAAACCATGGATTTGACTGAATAGGGTTGGGCATGAGCCCCCCCCCCCATGTACGCCCCCAGATATTTAACTTGTGAGCCTGAAAAAATTGTTTGGTTCAGTTGATTCAACCTTTTGGACTTTCTTGGGGATTGACAAGAAAAGACGAAATAAACTAATCAGTATCACTCACAACATACTTAAATTTTTGAATCCCTAAATCGTTGCAACCTAAGTGTGTAAACCTTTTATGGTTCAATATAATGTTTCTTTCTTCATTGTCGTTACTGAAATTGGAGTTTACATTAAAATATTGCAAGAGAATAAAACATGTTGGAAATATAAAACGTATTGGAAATATAAAACGTGTTGGAAAAATGTAGGAAATAGAAAATTAAGAGTTGAGACGAGTAATCTGTCCTTTGCATTTACAGTGGTGGGCGATTAAATCAATACAATGAAAACGACTTTTATTTTTATTTTGATTTATATCAAGCTGTTAAACATAATGACTACACATTAACATAGAAGTAAAGAGAAGCTGTCAATTAAAAGAGCTTCTCTTTGATTACTTGTAAACTTGTAATTTGAAAAAATCTTGTTAACAATCAAAACTTGATAAAAAAGCCTGTATTGTATTGATATAATCGCCTACCACTGTACGTTTACTCTTCCCAGTCGGTTAACTAAGAATTTGTTAAGAATATTATAGTTTTTCAATGTTCGTTTGGTGTAAAGATGCCAGGAGGTCGATTTTAACATCAAAATACTATTCATGTATTAACAATGCACTTTGATTAGTCATTCTAGCTATTTAGGATTCATTAATACAGGGTTTCCTTCAAAGTATTAGAATTCAGAGACGACTGTACGAATTTTATTCAGTCTTTATTCTCACATTTGTAATTCCCGACATTTTGAGTTTTTACCACAAGCTCTGATTTTCTAATCCTTATATCTCTGAAACCCGTAGACCTTTGTAATTTCAAACTTTAAATTGCAAAGATAAAGGATTAGTAAATTTGAGTTTGTGGCAAAAAATGGGGCTTTACTTATAGAATGTCAAATGCCTAAAAACATGGCTGAACTCTGTAATATATATGGTTTTAATGTACAATTTATATATATCCCTGGATATATATATAGAGAAACTTGTCGAATGAAGAAATTAAATTTTAACTTCAACATTTAGCAACTGTATACATACTAGCTGGGGGGTGGCGTGGAGGTTTGGGGGGGGGATATTTACATTACATAACTTTATTTTATTTTACCCCCTATGTTTTCCTTAACTATTTTGATAGAAAACAAGAACATTTTTATAATTGATAACAAGGAATATGCTTTTTAGTGAACTTCCACGATCAAACCCCTCCACTCCCTGCCTTAGATTTGCAATGCACCATGATTTACAAAAATCTTACTCTGTTCAAATCTAACAATTGCGCCTGAATGTTTATTTACAGTTTAACAGTTAAGTAAAACTTGAAGAGACCTTTTTTCCATGACAAAAATTGTATTAGGAAAAACTAAAAAATTCCAGATTTTAAAAATTACAACAAAATTGGGAAGGGGCACTTAAACACATTCATGGTCACAGGCATTAAAATCACGAGTTTTAAAAATCAGAATGTATTAAACAAATTCAAAAATTTCTCCTTTAAATTTAGAGTTTTATGTTTGACAATCTTGGGGAAAAAAACTTCTAAAGTTCAACACATAGATTAGGATCAACGGTAAAGAAAAAATTTCAAACCTTGCGGGTTACAGAATACTTATATACAGCATTCTTCCAGGTGGAAGGTTTTATTATGCATCCTATACAACAACATTTTTGTATTTTTAAAATTTCTGTGGAATGCAAAATATTTAAAAATCCCTTCTATAAGGTCTGTATTTAATAGCACCGCATATATATTCCAGCATTCATTAAACCGGAAATTCCTTTGGAGAAAACCTAACCAGGACAAGTTTTAGAATTTACGGACTTCGTCAGATAAAGGAATTCAGGGAATTGAGAATAAACGGCAAAATTCTTGGGATATCCGACAAAGAGTATCTCGTGAGATGGAGAAATATATGTGTTTAAGAGTTTTAAAAAAGTATATTAAGGCTGAAAAAAAAGACTTTTAATAAAATGAATTTTTTTAATTTGTTTAAATTTCAATTTTTGAGAAAACTGAGCACAAGGGAACTAAGTTCTTGCAACAAACTCAGATTTTTTAATCCTTATATCTTTGCAGACTATTGATTTTAAAAACCATGAATTCTGTCACATCAAATAGTGCGAGCTTGGTTTATCAAAGGTTTACACCATCAGTGATGGAAACTAGAAAATTTTAGTTTGTGGCAAAAACTCAGTTCAATCTGTTGAGCTAGATATATATTCCTATATCTAGGAAAACTACGTGAGAATAAATCAAATTAATAAAACTAATCCCTGGCGGCTTCTTTGATTAGTTCTATAATTCTCATTAACCTTATATGCATGACTGGAACACCTGGACCCCCCCCCCACTCCCCAGCCAGACGATTTGTCCAGATCATGCTCGCAATTCAACTTCTCCTATAGTTCAACGTATCATTAGGGAAAGTTGACCGGCGTATTGTTGAACTGCAGCTGTGGCTGCCGCGACCATTGACGACTCTACTATACACCTAGAGTAAAGATGACGCCAATTTATTCACTAAATTGATCAAGGAGCGACGATATAAAATCATTCCAATAATGTTAGATAGAAGGTTGGTGGGAGAGGGTTTATACAAACATTTGAGTTTCTTCTAAAACACAAAGCAAAAATAATTCAAAAACAATATTTATTCAACAGGTAGCTGTAACAGGAGGATGGGGAATGAAACGAGACGATTTAACGAAATTTGTTTAGTCCGTTTTCTTGCATTCAGGGTTCCTTGTTTTGTTTAGTCCGTTTTCTTTCATTCAGGGTTCCTTGTAGTGTTTAGTCCGTTTTCTTACCGTCAGGGTTCCTTGTAGTGTTTAGTCCGTTTTCTTGCATTCAGGGTTCCATGTTTTGTTTAGTCCGTTTTCTTGCAATCAGGGTTCCTTGTAGTGTACGCCACCCCTGCCCACCTATGCATGTGCAGAACCTATTTTGTTGTAAATCATCCATCCTTGTTTTGACTGCGAAGATGTCTACTCCCGGTGGTCTGACGGAGGGTGTATTGGTCGGGTTGGGGACAGGGTAGGCTGGCCGAGACCAAGCGGTCAGTCTGTTTCTTTCCCCAGTCTTGCCAGCATACACAGTCATGCTCCTCCGATCCTTGATCCATCTCCTTGTTCTATCTTCAACAATACTTATCCTTACTCCGGGTACATCAGCATACACCCCGTACAGTATGCATTATCAATCAAGGTATTCATTTATCTAAAACAAAACATTTGATTAAAAACTTATGTTTTGTATTTTTTAACTAAATTTTTTGAAATATTAAATAAAATAAAGATGTTAGGGACTTAGCCAAAGGCTTATTTCCATGTGTTTCCTAGCCGCAGCGCTCGGTCACCAATCCAATTCTAGCCGCAGCGCTCAGACCTCATTGCAGCCTGCGGCGCATCAGAAAGTTGCCGCTAGTGAAAATGCCGTTAGGAAATTACCTAACACTTTAAATGGCAACCTTTCTAATTTTCTATCTTAATCTCTAAATCAATTATGTTTTGAATCCCAGATCCCGTATTCTCTCTGGTACTAAAGCAGTACCTGGAGAATTCCCCTGGATGGTTAATCTAAGACGGAGGAAGCATCTAACATTCTTCTGTGGAGCTGCTCTTATTACAGACAGGTTCGATCTTTATCACTGAAACTCACATTTTTAATTTTCACATGAAAAAATGGGGGGGGGGAGGGGTTCTTATTGGAAAATACAAAAGAAATGTCACAATTATGAATATTTCCACATGAAAAAAATTCTCAAAATACAATTAGTCAAAAACTGAAATATTCCAATTCCTATAAAATGAGAGACTAAAAACAAAATTACATGAAAAGCTTAAATATAATTGCAAACTGGACAGAAGAAGACAAATTTATGCGACATTACTGGTACGACTTTGTGACCTCGTAGCTCCTAAAGTTAGGATTTTACGCGCACAATTTATCTGGTTACATATAATATATTCATTTAATCAGATGTGGACCCCCCCCCCATCACCACAATATCTTTGCTAAGCTTTAAATTATTTTGATTAAAGTATCTGGATTATTTTAGGTATTTGGTCTCAGCCGCTCATTGTATTTCTCAAAAGGCATCTTGGGACATTGTGGCGGTCATTGGAGACCATAGTATTAGGTTAGTTTTTAGATATAATTGGAGACCGTATTAGGTTAGTTTTTAGATATAATTGGAGACCACAGTATTAGGTTAGTTTTTAGATATAATTGGAGACCATAGTATTAGGTTAGTTTTTAGATAAAATTGGAGACCACAGTATTAGGTTAGTTTTTAGATATAATTGGACACCACAGTATCAGGTTAGTTTTTAGATATAATTGGAGACCATAGTATTAGGTTAGTTGCTAGATATAATTGGAGACCATAGTATTAGGTTAGTTTTTAGATATAATTGGAGACCATAGCATTAGGTTAGTTTTTAGATATAATTGGAGACCATAGTAATAGGTTGGTTTTTAGATATAATTGGAGACCATAGTATTAGGTTAGTTTTTAGATATAATTAGAGACAATAAATAGTATTTGGTTAGTTTTTAGATATAATTGGAGACCTTGTATTAGGTTAATTTTTAGATAAAATTGGAGACCTTTTATTAGGTTAGTTTTTAGATATAATTGGAGACCATAGTATTAGGTTAGTTTTTAGATATAATTAGAGACAATTAATAGTATTTGGTTAGTTTTTTGATATAATTGGAGACCATGTATAAGGTTAGTTTTAAATAGGTACCTATAGGCTCAAATTTTCAGACATTTTGGATAAATATGCCCTTAAAATTTGCAAACAATTGCAAAAGCTATGGATTAATGAATGAATGAATGAAAAATGACTGAAAAGGTTGTAAGATTGAAATCTGCTATAATTGAACTAAATTTAGAATATTTGGCCTGACCAGTTTACTGCTCTAACCCCAGACATTTACGGAGAAATATAACCTTTAAGCTCCCATAGATACTTCATAAAAAAAATCATAAAACGCAAGACTAAGTTTGCAATTTAAATTTGCAAACATGGCCCTGTGAAAACCCTGGTACACGTGCATAGGTTTAGGTCTGGAAACCCTGGTACACGTCTATAGGTTTAGGTCTGGAAACCCTGGTACACGTGGATAGGTTTAGGTCTGGAAACCCTAGTGCACCTGGATAGGTTTAGGTCTGGAAACCCTAGTACACGTGCATAAGTATAGGTCTGGAAACCCTGGTACACTTGCATAGGTTTAGGTCCGGAAACCCTAGTACACGTGGCATAGGTTTAGGTCCGGAAACCCTAGTACACGTGGATAGGTTTAGGTCTGGAAACCCTAGTGCACGTGGATAGGTTTAGGTCTGGAAACCCTAGTGCACGTGCATAGGTTTAGGTCTGGAAACCCTGGTACACGTACATAGGTTTAGGTCCGAAAACCCTAGTACACGTGGATAGGTTTAGGTCTGGAAACCCTAGTGCACGTGCATAGGTTTAGGTCTGGAAACCCTAGTACACGTGGATAGGTTTAGGTCTGGAAACCCTAGTGCACGTGGATAGGTTTAGGTCCGGAAAACTTGGATAAAAAGTGACCTTGCGTGGGTATTATACTCCAAACACAATACTCTAAACTTAAGTTGTACAGTTAACGGTTTTCTCATCATTTATTTCGCAACAACCTGGAAAATCCGGGTTTTCCATCATTAAGCAAGTTTTTGATATAAAAAAATTATGAAAAATCAAAATCAAATAATTTTTTTAAGTCCCCATTTCAAATACGATTAATTCTTTAACTGTGTTATATTTTAATGGTTTAAGACAATGGGTGTTTAAAAATGTAGAGATCTGTTTTTTTTTCGGAAACCAAAGCAATACATGTAATCTGTATTGTAGGATTAACCCCTGTATTCTGTATTGTAGGATTAACCCCTGTATTCTGTATTCTAGGAGTAACCCCTGTATTCTGTATTGTAGGATTAACCCCTGTATTCTGTATTCTAGGAGTAACCCCTGTATTCTGTATTGTAGGATTAACCCCTGTATTCTGTATTGCAGGATTAACCCCTGTATTCTGTATTGCAGGAGGAATGATAAAAACGAGCAGCGTATTCCTGTACTCCGAACCTTTATCCACCAGCGCTACTACAGCAGAACATTCGCAAACGATATTGCTCTTCTCAAACTCAGATCGGTAAGATAATGGGACTTCTCATGAAAAATTTGATGGTGTAAGGGACTGCTCGCGAAAATAAAGAAAATAAAGAAACTATGAATGTAACGTACATAACTGAACACTAACCAAACAATCGAAATTTTTTAATCCCTTCATCATTGCAATCTGATGATGTAAACCTTTGATATTTCAAACTTGCAATTATCTTTTCTAACAAATTCATAGTTTGAAAGGTCTACGACATCAGGTTGAAAGACATAGGGATTATTAGATTAGAGTTTTTGGAGAGTTCAGTTCCTTTGGGTCATTAAAAAGTAATATTTGGTGGAAAACCTGAAGCGTAAATCGTGATGGTTCAAAGGACTGTTAAAGTGATAGGAAATATAAACGTAAACTTAAAGACGTTAAAGAAACTGGAAAACGTTGACTTTAATTGTAAATTTTGAAAATTAAAGAACTTATAGACGTAAACTGTGATGGATAAAGGGACTATTCACGTAAACTAATAAACAGTGTGGTTGGCGATTTTATCAATTCAATGAAGACTACATTCGATTTCAATTTTGGCTTATATCAAGCTGTTAAACAGCATGGATACACATAAACATAGAAGTCAAGAGAAGCTATCAATTAAAAAAGCTTCTTTTTGATAACTTGTAAACTAAATTCGAAAAAAGCTTGTTTTCAATCTAAACCTTAATACAAATGTCGTCTTCTTTGTATTGATATAATTGCCTACCACTGTAAGAGAAATTCTTTCTCGGAGACCAAATCATTATAAAAACCTATTTACTAGACTGTAAAGATGGGAATAATTCAACCTCTAGCTCTGCCCTATCCTCAGACCAACGTGAGAAAGTATTTGAGCGGGAAAGTGCTGGTGACGGGCTGGGGAACCCTGGCATCTGGGGGCAAGCTACCGGATGTTCTGCAGAAGATTACTTTACCCGTTGTTAACATCAGGAAGTGTGAGAAATCCTACGGACGGAAGAAACCTTACATGTTCTGCGCCGGAGCTCCAGGTAGAAACTTGAGCTGATTTCAATCTGGGTTTTGGATAAAATTATAAATACTTATAAAGATTTTAAGACAAAGAATTTTCTAGATATAAGATTAGAATTGAGATCAGAAACGTTTTTAAGACTTCTTTTTTACCAGAGAAAAATGTCTGCTTATCCTAACTTCAACTTAATTGATCAACGAAAAATCCGGGAGTTATTTCCGATTTCTTTTAGTCAAAAATGGACTGAAGATTTAATTTCAAATGTCTGTCAATTTAACGCACTTACCGGTTCACAACGTTAAGGAAGATATCGTCGTTTTTCTGTCTAAAAAAGTATATAATCTCCCTTCGTCTGAATGGATTGAATGTATATAATGTAGGAGAAGATGCGTGTCAGGGGGACAGTGGTGGTCCTGCAGTAATCATGTCAGGGAGGATACCTAGGTTGGCCGGCATAGTTAGCCATGGGATAGGATGCGGTCGCAGAGAGTAAGTAACTTCATTCAAGATACAGGGTTATCTAAAAGAAGATGAAACTGTAAAGACGACCTGAAACTTTCTAGATGTGACGTTTCCAACAGTTAATTAAGTATTATGACGAACTTAGTCGTTTTATGGACTTTTTAATTAATGGGCTAAAAAAACTAACATTTACAGGGAATTCTAAATACAAGAGAACAGACGATTACATAAATATATCAATATTATAATTACAAAATGTACTAACATAATTCAAACATTTTGTTAAAAAATGTTCTTCCTCCTCTTTTTTAAATCATTTTTTTCCAGTAGTAATGTATGCTTGCGCGGACTTTTTTCAGGTTTTTTTCTCGCTGAATTGGGTAAAATAATTGGTTTTTAGGATATAAATAAATTTATGGGTAAAAAGTATCACATACATGTTTTTAGGTATCCCGGTGTATACACTGATGTTAGTTATTTCACTACCTGGATACTAGATACAATCACAGGAGCAGAACAGGAGGAACAGGACAGCAGATATCCAACCAGGTATAGTTTCAATAGGAGTAGAACAGGAGATATCCTTACCAGGCATAGATACAATAGAAGTAAAACAGGAGAAATCCAACCAGGTATAGATACCATAATAGTAGAACAGGAGATATCCAACCAGGTATACAGATACAATAGGAGTAGAACAGGAGATATCCAACCAAGTAAAGATAGTATGAATGTTTTATAAACAAGTTAACCACGGTTAAATCATCATCTCATTTTAACAAAAAAAACTCTTTATAAGGATTGTAAGCGTAATTTTAAGTGGCCAGCAATGCCAAGAGAGCAATATCCGATTTACAACGGTTCATTGAGAAGAGTGAGTTCTGTGTGTCAATGTGCTAAATAGCTGTCAAATCGTTCCAAAAGCCCTGTGTAGGCTGTGTACAGTTTGACCTCTGTATCTTTAACATAAGACCTTCCAATTTTTGTCGTAACTCTTGTTTTATGCAGGAATGACAAGTATCTGACAGAAGATGAATATATCGCCCAGCTGGAGAAGGATTTCAAGGAGAACACTGACTTCAAGGATGAGACATCGAAAGATCAAGATGAGACGAAAATATCCAGTTACGCAACAGACCTGGAGAGAATATTCTCCGGATTGAATGATCATCAGGACGGGTTTGATGAGGAGAGTAACTCTCTCTGGGATAGCGGAGAGTACAACTGGAAGGAGGAGAAAACGTATCCTTCCTACAAGCCATAAATTTTATCACATCAATGTACAATCAATATGAATAAGTGATGTAATTATATCAACTATATTTAAGTAAACAAATAAAGAAATGAGAAAGAACTATGAATTATTTTGGTGGTCCTTTCTTTAATTCTCTTTTCTCCCATCTAGCAATCTTCCTCTCACCATCAGCCACCTCCCTCTTCTTATAATAAGCCCTCTGAGGATAGTTTTTCTAAAAAAAGATTTTATGAAACTGAAATTTATACTTCTAAAATAATCTTGTTTAACACTTATAAAAACTTTAGAAAAAGAAATATTCAATAAACGTCAAAACAGCTGAACCGATCGGGCCCAAATGTTTTTGTGGGACCTCGAGTGACCCCAGGGAAGGTCTATGGATGTTCGGATTTCTGAAAATTTGCTTCTAACAAAATTCGATTTTTGTAAATTTTGAAAATCCACGAAAGTTTGTTTTTGGTTTTGTTGTACAATGCATACAAAGAGAACATGTTCACAATTAAAATAGAAGATGGGCGCTCACCATATTCCAGTTGGTCTTCGGTAGGGTTCGAACCCAGGCCTTGACCTTATCCTCCTTCTCAATCTCATATCTGTCCAGGTTCTCAAAGAAGAAAAGTTTTTCCTCAGTTTTTAGAAGATTTGCTTTGGTTTGTGAGATCGCTTCAACTCTAGCAGCTCGTTGTAATACTTCATACTGCCTAAAATACATTTTTTAAACAATAACTATTAATACAAGAGTTAATAACATCCAGAATTCAATATTTGTTAAGTACAGAGTTTTCTCGAAAACGACTTCCCAATCTACACTGCTATGGTCCATCAAAACCATCGTAAACGTTATTTATTTCGTAAATTGCTTTATGGTTTTAAAATACTTTCATTCAAAGATAATAAAACCAGAAATTTATTTTAAAAAACCTTGTTCTGAAGGAATAGGTCAATGGATCATAGTAAAATCTAACCTTGCTCCAGATTTCAAAGTCAGTCCCAATTTCATCACTTTTAACTAATTTTATGAAAATCTTTCAACCCTTAAAGGGAGTGTTCGCGAAAAATGAAAGGGGGTATAGGTTTACGGCGAAAAATAAGCGCTTTTGATTGCTACTAATCTTACTTCTATCTGTTGTGTCTGTAAGGAGAAAATTGCTAAAACGACTCACACCGAAGAACGCGTCGTCCATACAAATTATAAAATTAAAGAGAAAATTCATTTTTAACAGTTCTGTAAATACTTTGAAAATATTTTTTACTGAAATAGATAATTGTATTTCTGATTGACGTCAGCTCTCTAATTCTAATTACCTTTGTAATTCTTCATTTCTCTCCTGGTTCCACTGTTTATATAGATTCTTCTGTTTCTCCGTCAAATCCGTCCTCACATTATTCTCCAGGTCCCGGCATACACTTAACAAGCTTTCATCTAGATCCAGCTCCACAGCTTTAGCGGAGCTCACGGAGTCCTTCAGTTCTTCGTTCTCAGCCAGGGCGTCCAGGACGGATTGGGCAACTTCTCCGGAAGCGAGGAGTTCAATAACACGACTTTGGTTCCCGAACAGGAAGTTGCCAAGAATATTCAAAGATCTAAAAAAACAGAGTTTGGAACCCTTGTATTGTGGATATCGAGATCAATGCTTGATCTTTTATTGATCTTTAGATAAATTCAATCTTTAATTGATTTACAGTGGTAATCTTACCCTTCAGGAATAACTGAAATGCAAAGATCAAGCATTGATCCTCAATTTTAAAATGCCAACAGTGTATATCGAGATAAAGCGTTTGCGATAATGGGTATCCTATAACATACACAAAAGTTTCCAGCTATGTTAAAACATTGTAGATATTCACGTTGATGAACAAGTTAAGTTGGCGAATTTTTAGATCTAAGGACCAAAAATCTGCACAGCTATGAAATTTAAGCTTTAACTAATGAGATCGCACAAACTTTGAAGTGTCACAAGTACATAGTCCTAAACTTTTATGATACAATAGAAAACGCACGCAGATATCCATTGCAAATATAAGAGGATTTCTAAGTCGTCTTTGATTCCTAAGTATATAAAAAAAAAAATAATAACGACCAACAAAACAAATCAAATCATTTCATACTCTCCAGTAGGGTGACACACGTATGGGGTTGGAAAAAAATTGGGATGGATAGGTTTTATAGGTGATTCGTCCCAATATAAGCTTTTTGTGAAAATTGTACGTTGATCGGAGCATTGCATCAGGTGAAAGTCGTTTTCGGTTTTTCGGCAAAATCTTGATTTTTGGTCAGTGCTTAGGATCCATTTAATTTGATGTGGATCCGGATCCTGGATCCGCACTGGAAAAATGGATTCATTTCTTTAAGATTTATTGAATTTTTTTGACAAAAAATAATTTACAATTTTTTTTTTTTTTTTTTTTTCTTTGCTTGTTTTTATCCTGAAACTTGATGAACCAATCAGAAATGAGGAAATTTTGAAAATCTCTCTTTTTTGAAAAGTTCAGATTTGGATTTTAGGAGTAAAAAAGTTTTTTTTTGCAGTTTTCGGTTGAAATTTTACCCCTTGGATCCTAAGCACTGTTTTTGGTGAAGGTCAATAACCTCAGATCCCAAATTTTCTTTGAGATCTGAGTATTGGGCTACAATGGGAGGCTGCATGCGATGATCAGCCTTTTATCTCAATTTTTAGAACCAAATGCAGCCTCTACAAAATTGGTGTCACAAAGTGTCAAATTGCCCCCGATTGTACAAGTTTTTCTTCCACCTAAGTTGATCAAGATAGAGCAAAACATGTTTTCGCATTTCAATACTGACGGTTAACATCAGCCTACTCTACAGGGATGGCTTATGGCATCCTTTGTAAGGACCAGAGGCTCAATTCCATAATAATCACAAACACAATCACAATAACAATAGTTGTTACAACAATAACAATGAAAACTTAGGTCTACCTGGAAACAGTATCGGAGCTACCAGAGTTGAAATGAATTAAAGTTTTCCCCAGGATACGATCAGGATCGCGCAGATCAAAATGATCATCGAAATAATTGTTTGGAACAACTTTTACCCGGACCCTGATGACCTCGTCGGGGTTCTCATCGACCTGAATCTCCTCCGGGTAGAACCATGGGTCCTGGCGTCCTGACGAGTAATATCTCCAACAGGATAAATTACCTGACAAAAATACAAGTTAGATGCTTTGATTGTCTCTTGAAGAATTCCAACAAACAATTCACATAAATATCCTTTTTTTTAGTAATTTATTTAAATTGAGTGACTGCCTTAATAAAGTGGCTGAACTGAAAGCTGAAACAGAAACAAACAAATAAATAAATAAAATGATCAACCATCGTGGGTTAAGCTCTCATCTAACCGCAACACCATTTTAGTTGGCAGGGCGTCACTGGCATTGTACAAATAGAATCATAAAAAGTTTAATTTGTATTTGCACTGCGGATCAAAGTGTATTTGCACTGCGGATCAAAGTGTATTTGCACTGCGGATCAAAGTGTATGTGCACTGCGGATCAAAGTGTATTTGCACTGAGGATCAAAGTGTATGTGCATTGCGGATCAAAGTGTATTTGCACTGTGGATCAAAGTGTATTTGTATTGCGGATCAAAGTGTATGTGCACTGCGGATCAAAGTGTATTTGCACTGCGGATCAAAGTGTATTTGCACTGCGGATCAAAGTGTATTTGCACTGCGGATCAAAGTGTATTTGCACTGCGGATCAAAGTGTGCTTCAGAAATTGATTAAATATTTGTATTTTCACATGATCATTACATTAGATGAGATTCCACACAGGGGCGTATTCAGGAATTTATTTGTGGGGGGAGGGGGCTCAAATTTTTTTCTTTCTAGGGGGAGAGGATCAGCACCTAATAAGACCCAAAACCCCCCTAAAAACCAAATATTTTATTGACCCAGGGGTGTGTGTATGAGGTGCTTAGTCTCCATAGCCCCCCCCCCCCTGAATAATACGCCTCTGATTCCACACTATATATTATTTCATTATAATTGGTAACCAAAACAACAGAAGATTTTCTAGAGACAATAACCACAAAATTTTCCAATTCCTGGCATTTTCAAAATGTGGTCTGCCTCTTTATTCCTGTCAATATCGCTGGTAAAAAAGGCTGTGGTTATTGTTTTAAGAATCATACTTCTTAAAGCAGGTGGACGACTGAATGTCACAAATAAATTCAAAGACGACTTTTGCTACTGCCATGTTTCGTGGGACACCCTTTACCTAAAAGAAAATAACAAAATATTTACCTAGGGCCGAAGGTAAAGTATAATTTTCTTCTTGAAGCATGAGCTGACTGGCACATCTAGCTGCTGCCCTCAATTCACCCGCTTCAAGTAACTAAATTCAGAAAATCTGGTTTGTTTATTTGTATACATTTTTACGATTATATCGTTTATTATATTTAGTGTTTCAGGTAATTTCATAGAGAACGATTTTTGGACCCCCCCCCCTCCTATCAATTAAGTGATTTTTTATATGTTGATAATCAAAACACTGTGAGTAGAGGCACATATTTTTATTATTTTATTCACCGAATTTGGGAAAATAATAAATTTTTAGGGGAATATAAAAGAAATTTTTGGTTAAAAGAACAAAAAAAGGGTCGATAATCATGGCAGTCAATATCTAATATTTAATTATTTTCCCAGAGTATCGGAAACCATTCTTGAATACCCCTGTTGTATTTACTTACCGATCATCTAGCATCTTGACAAGATTAGATATTTCCCCGTGGTCGAGCATACTGCGCACTGCCGCATGCTGTGTTGAAGGAGAGGTGTGAACAGTGTGCGGGGTCCGGCGTAGCTTATGCAGTAATTCCTAAGGAGACAGTTGTAAATCAGGCATTGACATCTTTGCATGGAGGGTCACTTTATATTAGGATTATAGTCCCTTAAAGAGCTTAAACTTTAAGAATGTGCTAAATCCCGGTTTTAGATTTTGTGAAATGAGAAAACCTAAAAACCCATGCTCAAGATAAAATATTTAAGTGCTGTTCCAAGGGTGTATTCAGGGATTTGTCAAGGGAGGCTTAATTTATTTTTCCAGGAGAAGCTGATCTACCATAGCCCCCCTAAATACGCCTCTTGGCTGTGTTAAGTGTGAAAAAAATTCAGTGCTTAGGATCCAGATCCGCAAAATTTTGGCTTCCTGGATCCGGATCAAGTTTAAGGATAAAAATATGCAAAAAAAATAAAACAAAAAATTTGAAAATTATTTTTTGTTAAAAAAATTCAGCAAATCTTAAAGAAATGATCCGGATCAAATTTAAATGAATCCTAAGCACTGGAAAAAATTAAACAAATGGCTGAATTTAAAGAAAACATAGGCAATTTTAGATTTTATTGATAATGTATTGTGTAGACGTAATTGTAGATCGTTTGTCTATAAAATGAATTAAACACTTGAAGCTAGAAAAACGACGATATTTTACACAGTATTGATCAAATTAAAGTTAATAAGATACTGTTGTGAATAGGGCAAGCTCTACATAATGAAAGTTCACTTAAAATTACGTCCGTCCATATAAAATACTGATATTCACCTCCATATGTTCGGCCTGCGTATCTGTTTTCACATTATTAGCAAATATATCCACGTCTACAGCTGATCCTCTGTACTCGTTCGCAAACTTTTTATCCAGCTCAACAAAATACTCGCCTTAATTTCAAATAATAACAGAAGTTTTTTAAAATTTTCTCATCTATTTACATTCAGCTATGTTACATTCTATCCATCTCTAATCCATTCTGTTCGGATCTTTTTAGATCTTTTCCATTCCATTCATTTCAATTCCATTCCATCTGTCTTTATTCTTTTCTATCAAGCTCTATTAATTTCATCCATTTCTATTCTTTTCCATTCAACTCTATTCCATTATATGAAATCTAACTATAATTCGTTTCATCCAGCTCGATTCATTTCCAACTTGCTCTATTCCATTCTATCTAACTCTAATTTATTCCATCCAGCTTTATTCCATTTTTTTCAGCAATATTCCATTATATCAAACTCGATTCAGTTATATCCATCTCTGAGCCATTCTGTTCAGATCGTTTTAATTCCATCCAATTCTATTCCATTCCATCTATCTTTATTATTTTCTATCCAGCTTTATTTCACTTTTTTTGTAATCTAACTCTATAAAATTCGTTTAATCCAACTCAATTCATTTCCAGCTTGCTCTATTCAATTCTATCCGTCTCAATTTTATTGCATCCAGCTTTAATATATTATATTTATTATTATATTATATTATTCTTCATTCCATCTTATTCAGCTATATTTCAATATATCAAGCTCGATTCCATTCTATCCAGCTCTATTCGATTCTATCCAGATATATTTCCATCCATTATATCCAGCTCTATTAAATTCCATCCAGTTCTATTCCATTCCATCTCTCTCTATTCTATTCTATCTAGCACTATTCCATTCCATCTAGCTTTAATCTCTATGCCATTTCTTCTATATCTATTTTTTCTATCTGGTTCAATTCCATTCTAACCATCTTTATTCTCTTTCCTATCTAGCTCTATTCCATTTCATCTATTTTTATTCTTTTTCCTTTTTAGCTCTATTCCTTTTCATCCATCTCTATTCTTCTCCATTCCATTCAGCTATATTCCATTATATCAAACTCGATTCCATTCTATCAAGCTCGATTCTATTATACGTACCCATCTTTATCTTTGAGAAGACCGGGGCCTGAAGGCGTTCCTGCCACGCCTCTCTCAGTTGGAAACTATCATTCACTACACCTCGGCTTAACAAATTATCCCGCCATTTTTTTCGAAGGAAAATCCGCCGAATATTTAGTTGAACGGCATTATTCATTTTCTGAAAATTTAAACAAATAATTCTACAATACGATAAAATCCAAGGATAAACATGAAAACATTTTCTATTATAAAATTTTTAAAATCTTCAAAGGACTACTGATGTGAATAAATTTTTTTTACTAAAAAGTTAAAAATAAGTGGCCCTTTATTAAAAAACCCCGAGGGGCACTGCCCGATTTACAAGAGTACTCTAGAAAACTTTATCTGATAAATAATGTGGACGATAGCGAAATTGAAGTGTTTTATCCAATAATTCCGTCATTGTTTCAGAAGCAAGAAATACGCAAGTCACTTAAGCACATAGAACCTAAAATTAAAATGAACAGTTTTCAAGAAAGAATATTTTTTATCTAATTCATAATTGATCTAACAAAGCTTTTAAATATACCGTTGTGAATCGGACTTGCCACTCTACCGATGAAGGGTCACTTGAAATTACGTGTACAGTCCCTTTAAATTCGGAAAAAAAATTATTGCGTTTGTTTGACTAGGAAATTTAATTCTAAATTAATTTATATGATTACATCATTACTACATAAATAATTTCAAATAAAACTATAAAATAATCCATAAAATCTGACTTTAAGAATTCAGGTACGTAACTACATTGTTTTAGACAAGCAAGACATATAAATACAATTCAATCATTTAATTTGGGTACATTTGGCAGGTTATTTGATAAAAGACTTGACGCTCGTTTCTTGTTTATTTCCCGAAACTTTATCATCCTCTCTTATCATCTGGATAACAACAAAATCTAAAAAAAGAAAATTTAAAAAGTTTCTTTTTAAAATTTCTGTGATAAACTTACCTAAAACTGGGACAGCATTATGATTTTTGTTTGGTTTAATTACTGGTTTCAGCCGCATGCGGTACCTAGAACAGATTATGATTATAGTTACATCTAATACCCCCTCTCTCTCTACAGAGGTTCATATAATTCCATCCAAAATGATCCCAAGTGTTGATTGATATTAGAGGCAGAAATAAACAATGCTGTTGTTGTGAACAATTGAAAGTATGATGTCAAGTTGTAGAAAAAATGGGAGTTGTTATTTTTCTGTATATGATAATGTATCTCTTATATTGATAACTGATATTTACGTATTGTAACACCCCAAATGCAGTACACATTTCTGAAGTGTAGTAAGCGTACACAAAAACCATACCAAAATTCACAATGACACAGAAATTTTATTTTTATGCCCCTAAATGTACTTTCAACCCCGATCCTATTTAGTATCAGAAATGGAATTATATGGAACCCTGCAACTCAACCCTGTCTTAGAAGTTAAATCTTACTTCTTCCCACTGGAAAGATGCTTGTTGTTGGAGTCCTTGATCTGCTTCCCGTGCATCCTCATCTTGATATCCACCAGGAACCTCTCCTCCTCCCCCTCCACCTGGACCTTACGGAACCTCACCGGCATCACGAACTCGTTAGCGTGGTACTCCTGGTTCTCCAGTAGAAAATCAGGCAATACACTTCCACACAGAGTTCCCTTGATACAATACTTCAGAGGAATGTTAGCATTTTCCTTCATCTTAATACATTGTCTTTTACTACAGTCGTCCTTGTAAATATCACTACAATGAAGATGACATTCGAATTCAATTTTGATTTCTACCAAGCTTTCAAGCGGCATGGATACACATAAACTTAACACAAAAAGAAGCTGTCAATTAACAGCATCTTTTTCTTTATTTGTAAACATGTAATTTGAAAAAAGCTTGTTAGAAATCAAAATTTAACTAGAAAAGTCGTCTTCATTGTATTGATACAAACGCCAACCTCTGTTTAAAACTCGAGAAGATGTCGTAAAGTCAAAACTGAAGACGACAGTACTTAAAAAAAATCTGGAACATTTAATATTGATATAATAAGAAACCCAAATCTGAAAAATCTAGGAAACGCGGAAAATTTAAAAATATAATGATATACTATCTATCTAATCTATCTATCTATCTATTAAGACTCCCCAATAACACAAGTGTTACCAGGTAACCCTGCAACCCAGAGCCCCATTTTGGGGTGCATGGATCACAGAGTTAGCATGATATGTGCAATGATACTGTTATGCCCGAGTGGCAGTAGCCGATGATAATATCACTTGTTTCACACTTTAAGTTTCTTTTTTATACTTCTAGCAAACTGTATCATTGCTGCATCAAACTTTGAACATGGTACTATTTTATTTGATCCTTGCATTCGTCACTTTCGGATCATAAAATCAAAATTATTTTTCTTCAATTTATCTCAGGGTGTAGGAAAAAAGTATTACCTCTATAATCCGGTGTTTAAGTTTTCGTTTGAAAATAATGGTACACCCACTTTTCACAACTCTAAAACATAAACAAAAATTATAATGTTTAAAGATCCAATTTAGAATAGTAAGTCTGAGAATAAGATAGATACGAGCTGTTTGCGACAAGCCCGAATTGGTTGGACCGATTTGGCTGATAATTTTCAGGAAACTCATGGGTACTCTGGGGGTGACAGAAACTAAAAAATTCCAAATTTTTTCCTTCAAAAATCATTTGTTAAAATTTGCTTTTAATATTCGACATTATTTTTTAATTCCACGGGCAACACCGGGAACTTTCAGTAACTAACAATTTTAGAAAACCATTTGTGACTTTTTAGCGGAGTAGGGATTTATAGATTGACCAATTTGTGACACTTTGCTTCTACTTCTTCATCTGTATCACCCCCTCCCTCCCCATCCCTTTTTTACCTTCACTACTAAAAAGCTACACCCCCGCCCCACCCCCCTCCATATTCCAAAACAATTACCTCTGCAGAAGAAATAAACAAGATTTTGGTTTGGCTTTACTAAACCACTGAATACAATCAGATCCAACGATCCTGAAAATACAAGAGTGAGATCTGATCCAACGATCCTGAAAATACATGAGTGAGATCTGATTCAACGATCCTGAAAATACAAGAGTGAGATCTGATCCAACGATCCTGAAAATACAAGTGTGAGATCGGATCCAACGATCGTAAAAATACAAGAGTGAGATGAGAAAAAGTTTAAATATGAGTAAAAAATAAAGGCCCTTAAACCTATTTCATTAGAATACATTTTTTAAAGATTTTTTTCTCTAGAAATTTGTAGAACTAAGTCGGGATAAAATCCAAGCCTTTTGGCAACTCTTGAGATCTACTACACCAATATACATTTAAAAGTTTTTTTATTTATGGAAACTCCTAGGACAACGTCGGAATTAAGTCAAAGCACTTTGGCTTTGGGACCTCTAACCTGTAGACAATTTGGAGCTAAAAATAGACAAGACAAATACAGAAATTTGAGAATAGTAAGTCTGAGTGGGATGATTTTGTACGAAATTATTACTTGTTTTGGAATTTCCAATTATGTACGCCAGTCATCCTCATGAAGAAGAGGTACCTCAAGCCTTCTTTTGTACATATACACTTCCCATCCGGGGCCCCTGAATCCTAAATAACAAAAATAAATTCTGAAAATAATTCAAAAAAAGTTTGAATATTTTTGTTCCAATATATAGTTTAAAGAAAACAACAAAGCAGTTTTTTTTGTCTCATTTAGTTTCAAGAAAACACTAATGCAAAATTTGTTTGTTTAAGACACGATGTGAGAAAAAAGGATGAAATTACCATAAAATCGTACATCGTCCATTTGCCGATAATTTCGTCATCTGTGAGAAAACTGTCAGGTTGAAGTCCGGCCCCGGGGTTCTCCAATATACACTCCCTGTATCCGTCCCGTAGACTGGTGATCAGAGCTGGAGGATAATTGTTCTCCTTTAACTCATCATCATCACTAAAATAACATAAAATAAGAATAAAAATTCACAAATTCCTAAACGGTAATAAAGGCTTTGATATAAAAAAAACCCTGAAATATCAAAAATATTCCGAAAAAAAAATTACAGGGTACTAATACTAAATAGTATAGAATGAAAAGGGTAGTTTTTCAAAACCTGGCATCATATTCGCCCAGCTGCCTTGATTCAGCCGTCAGATCATACTCATCATTGAGCTGAAGAAACCTGTCATTCCGTCTCATCAATCCATCCTTGATCTTCTCAAACTCATTTCTACAATAAAACTAGGTTACGCTAGAATAGGCAGAACCTTTATCTTTTATTTTCAATCCAATTCTTAACAAATCTTGCGTTAAAAAAACTTACGGGTCAAATTTGTCGTCATCATCTTTGACAACAAAGCTTCCATCTGTATCTGTATCAGCATCATCAACTGACTCCGAGTCCGACCAGGTTTCATCGGAGTCGGATTCTATTTTCCGTCCCTTCTTGGCCGACTGCTTGATTTTTCTTGGAAAGGAAACATTTCCGCTTCTCATCGTTTCATCCTCATTTTCAGAATAAATTTCAAATTTTCCTTTCTCTTTCTCGCCTACAGTCTCCAAATCGGGAAAAAGTTTGGCGCGTGCGCGATTACTGTTCTGATCCTTGTCATCGTCGGAATCACTGCAAACAGGTCTTTCATTGATTCTCGATTTCTTTAAGGAGGAAGAGCTTCTCTTCTCCCGGATTTTCTGAACAACAAAATTGTTTTTAATGAATTTTTATTTTTAAGACTCAATCAATTAATTTTACCTCTAATGCTCTGTGTCGTTGAGCCTCCTCACACGAATCATCACTGCTGAACTTCAAATCATCAATATAATTTCGTTTCCGTAGATTAATTTTTCTTTCAACTTCTTTTCCCGTCTTCTGTTTCTTCTTGGTACTTCTAACAACCTCTTTCTTTACCTCCTTCTTTTCCTCCTCCTCCTCCTCTTCATCAGTTTCAGGATAAGTAAAGTTTTCTTCCTGTTCATTACCCTTCGTCTTCTTCTTGGAGTTACCAACCTGAAAATATAAATACTCTGGAACCAATTGGAAACTTGTCCACTAGTGATCATTCAATAACGCTAGCTAAGAGTATTTTTAACTCAAGTTTTAACAGTACCAAGGAGATTATTTTAGACTGGAGCAACAGGGACAGGGATTGATAAACTACTTAAGGAATGTACAATGGTCCACAGAACTGAGTCAGCTGTCAACTGAGGATTTCTGAGCATTTTTAAGGATCAAATAACTGCAGGTTCTGAAACATTTATACCAAAAAGACCAAGTAGACAAAATAACAAACCACAATGGATGACGAGGGCTGAAAAAAAATATTAACACTACAACACTTACTTACAAGCCGCAGCGCTCGGCCCGGAAAGTGTCATAGTAACCTTACCTATCCTGACCCTAAAATATATACTATCTCTCTCTTTCTTGCAATTCAACGTGGCAAGCGCTTATAACTCCTTTAGACAACTGCCCTAACTACAGACAGAAATCAAAGAGGCCAAAACATTAATAGTATTTACCACATTGCTTGATGCAGTTGACCTAGAATCTTTCTAATTACTAGCTGTGCCCGTGGTCGTCTGTTCGTCTGTATCATGATTCCGAGGACTAACCAGAATGATCCAAAATGTTCCTACCTGGAACCCTGGAGATAATTCATCAAGTAACCCAAGTAAGTTAGAAGAAGTAGAGTTTACTTTTCTTTTCTTGGAGAAGTTCTTCTTCATTTTCTTTGTAATTATCTAAATTATCAGCCTATTAAAAACATTCTTAGGAGGAAAGTCTATCTTTCTCTTTGTTTTAACGTTCTTGAGTTCCAATGTTTCGTGTCCTGTTTTGTGTTCTAGGATTTTTTTGTCCTGTCAAGTCCTGTTTTATCCTGTCCTGTCCTGTCCTGTCCTGTCCTGTCCTGTCCTGTCCTGTCCTGTCCTGTCCTGTCCTGTCCTGTCCTGTCCTGTCCTGTCCTGTCTTTCTTGTCAAGTCGTGTCATTTTTTGAGTTTTGTTTCAATGTCTCTGTTGACAAGTTTTTACCTGTTCTTTAACTAAATCTATATCTGATTTGATACCGTCCAGATCCGAGTTATCTGAACCTGGTTCTGAATCAAAAATTGACTCTGAAGAGCTAGAACTTGATTCAATGACGGCATTCTTTGTCCTAAACAATGAACAAATAAGAACATATGAGGACGAGGCCAAAATCTTGCTTTGGAGGCTTTCCTTAATAAATATAATCATCGAATTTCAATCGACACATTCGTAAAATAGTTGATATTTAAACTTTATGTGAATGCGTCGAATAAAATTCTATTATTAAGGTTGTAATATCTGAATGATTTGTTTGGAATTTAATTGAATTATTTACGATCTGAGTCGAATATTGGAACATTCTGAATTTGTATGGTTGCTACGTTCTACTTTGTGAGTCGTGATTAACCATTTTCATCTTAGATACGCAACAGATAGAAGTAAGATTAGTAGCGACCACCATCGAATTTTTTTCAAGGTAAGGCTATTCACTTTTTCTTATTTTTCGCGAACACCCCCTTTACCATGAACAGTGGTACACTCCATTTTAAAAAGAAATTGGATGTTTGAGGACTGAGAAANGGTGTAGAAATAAGAGATGTTATCCTAATTTAAATGTCGTTTTCTGCACAACTTTTAAAATAATATTTTTTAAGTTAAAAACAATTAAAGATACGACGTTTTAAGGAATTGCTCCTTAAACTATCAAATGAATTGGATTACCTTTTCATGGCTTTTTTTGCTGCAGCTCTGGGTGGCAATATTCTCTTTTTAACTCCGCCCTTATCCTCAATTATATCCTTCTCTCTGGTCTCAGTCTTACCCTGAGCAGAAGAAAACTAGTGTTATCACACAACTATACAACTGTTTATATACGTACATCTTAATTTCACCATACTGCCTGAAACATGCAGATACAGGGGTTAATACATTCCTAATAGAAATTTAAAATTATGTTTCATATTCTTTGTAATGTTCAGAAAATAGCCTTTTTAATGAATCGGTTAGATTTTTTAATAAATAATTAACGGCCCTGAAAAAGTTATAAATCAACCCGTTTCAATACGTCCTAATCATTGATCTGTTATATGTATATATTATATATATACGTTAAACATAGATAAATATATAAATAAAATCGATACTATTATATATATACGTTAAACATATATAAATATATAAATAAAATCGATACTATTATATACGTTAAACATATATAAATAAAATCGATACTACTGTTGCTATGCGTAAATCTTTATTGCAGAGACAGGGGTTAATACACTCATAATAAAATTGAAATTTATTCATTGTAATATTATCTAACTAACATTTACCAGAACCAGTTAAATTTTTTAATATATGATAAATATAATATATTTATATATAATTAACTTCAGAAAACATTTAAATCAACCCGTTCAATACGTCTTAATCAGTGGTGTTCTATATATGTATATAAATCTATCTATCTATCTGTACACTACCATATATATACACATATGTAATATATATATTGGTTTTTGTTCTCTGCAATATATATGCTCTGTTTCAAATGTCGTGTTCCATGCTAAAATCCACGATTGGTTTTATGTTCTCTGCTATAAATATATGAGAGTGGAGTTGGAACATTAGTTGCTGTCAATTTCTATGTTGCAGACAGCAACTAATTTTTTGGCGTCCCCTCCCCCCGAGCCAGAAAACAGTTGCTGTCAACATAAGTATATATTATAGATAATACTGTTTATATACATATTAAATATACATACAAGGTGTCACTGAAAAAAGTGTGTTCAGGCTTTTTTTGCCTCAGAAACACCATTCTTTTGTGTTAAAAGTACTTCTAGTAGGTACAATACCCATACATAATGGNGGTCGTAAATTGGGCCTGACCGGTTAAGCCGTTTTGAAGTTAATTAAAACAAACAGACAGGCAAAGTATTTAGATGTGTCTGCAAACATGACATCACAAACATGTTGACTCGTTGAGTCCTTCTAATCCCAATAAGCCAAGATAATATTTGAAGTATGTATCACTGTAACACTGAAAGCTAAATTTAACTATGATAATATTTGAAGCATGCAGGGTCGCCAAAACTTTTTTGAACACATCCGTACAAAAATCCGTACAATCCGTACAATTTTCGAAAAACAATCCGTACAATCCGTACAATTTTTTTTACCCTGAGCATGTATCACTGTAACACTGAAAGCTAAATTTAACTATGATAATATTTGAAGCATGTATCACTGTAACACTGAAAGCTAAATTAAACTATGACAATATTTGAAGCATGTATCACTGTAACACTGAAAGCTAAATTAAACTTTGATAATATTTGAAGTATGTATTACTGTAACACTGAAAGCTAAATTAAACTTTGATAATATTTGAAGCATGTATCACTGTAACACTGAAAGCTAAATTAAACTATGACAATATTTGAAGCATGTATCACCGTAACACTGAAAGCTAAATTAAACTATGACAATATTTGAAGCTCAATCTTAGAAAAAGATTGTATGTTAAACCGCCTTTAACCGTTCTTATATTGATTAAATTATGATTTTAATTTCTAATAAAAAATAAGAAATAGAAATGATTTGTCACTTACCCCAGGAAGAAGATTCTTATCGTGTATTATGACCATGTCTTCCTGTCTTTCCATCTTCTTCTCGTTTCTTCCTAGCAGCTCTTCTCTTCTTCCTCTTTCTTCTCCTCTCATTGCGTCTTCAATCCATCCTTCTATCCTAGAACTATTTGGTCTACCAAGTTCTCTAGGTTTACTTAGAATCATAGATTGTGGATAACTAGGACGGGTTGGATCTTCTCCACCTCTACTCTGGGTCTGGTTTGGAGCTGGTGGTTGAGAATTTCGAGGTACTACAGGAGGTGTGTGGTCGATCAGATATGTTCTTCGGTCAATATGTTCTGAAAGAAAGTGTATATAGTATTCACAACTGTAGTCTGTCACAGTACCAAGTCAATTTTAAATGACTTATTTCATTCATTTAATTGGAGTTTGGTTTGAAGCTAAAACTGAATTGGTCAAAAACATATTAGAGGTAGGAATTCATGAATAAGAGAAGTGAAACTGGGTACTACTAGTTGAACTACTTCTCCTGAGTAGTTTTAAACTACATCTTTTTTTGCATTTATAAATTCCTAACTCAGGAAATGGTAGCCGATTTGTCATTATTCAAAACTTTAAATTTGCAATTCAGGAACAAAACATTTTTGCTGATTTTTTACCACTTTGATCCGAATCCATAGATCTGTATTTTTTTGTAAATCGAATCCTAAGAGGCATAATAATGCGGACCTGTATCCTAAGCACTGTTGTGAGTCATTACCTCCCATTATGATATTATATCGTTCCATGATATGACTTAAGTTGTCTTCGCTGTAACTTGCGAAATCTTTCAACACTCTGGAAACAAATAATCATAATAGAAGAAAAGTGATAACAATTATTTCAACAAGATTTCTAGATCAGAGAAGTCCCATAAACGATTGACATTTTAGTTTTTCTCTACAAAGGTTGGCCCCCCCCCATACACAAATAAACTCAGTCCATAGAAAAAGTGAGTTAGAAAATTCCGAAGTGCTTAATTTTTGGGACTCACGAGTTACGAAATAATTATTTGTTCTAGAAATTAAATCTTAAATTATTCAAACCTCCGAAGATTGACCACTGAATCCCAATCGCCCCCCCCTTCCCCAAATTAAATATGTTTATGAAAAAGAATTAGGAAATTATTTCTAGGACTAACGAAATAATTATTTGTTCTAGAAATTAAATCTTGAATAAAACGAACCTATCGTAAGCTAGTGAAAGTTGGGCGTGAGTATCAAGGTCCCGGTTTGCAGATTTCTAGAAGGATTAAATCAAACTATAATATTAGTGATAAAATGTAATGAAAAGTTTGGCTCAAGAGTTACGTATTGGTTTTTATGACTGATGCCATTTACATCTATATAATGAAACTCTTCGCCAATATATTTATATTATGATAATCTTATGAGGAAAAAAATGTAATAATGGAAATTCTTAAACGAGATGAAATAATCTTGATGTATTCTTTAACGAAGGCCGCAGGCATAAGGAGCGTGTAAGAATGAATATTCTTCAACTAGTGTTAGAATTTCCATTCTTTAATGCTTGGAGCGTGTAAGAATATACATTCTTTCACGCTCTGACCGTGTAATAATTTCCATTCTTACACGGTCTGAGCGTTAAAGAATGAAAATTCTACACCTACAGTATAAGAATAAGCATTCTTAAACGCAAGGAAGCGAGCAATATCAAAATTGTTCCTCCTGAACCGTGTAATAATGGGAATTCTTACACGATAGGTTTACTACTATGGAACCGAACAGATATTATATAATTAAGTAATATTTTCATCAAAATTTTCATTGATTTATAAATTAATAGTTTTCCTAGATAAGATTGATTCTGAACTAATCCCTCCCTGAATTCCTCTTCTAAGGTCTGCCTCCTGTTTAGCCCAGTACGGAGGTAATCCCCAGGGATTATCTAACTGCTCCGGAGTAGACCTTGAGCTTGTACCTTGATCCATTCTAGATCTATAGCTTGGATCCATTGTTCTATAGTATTGACCTACACCCCTGCCGGAGACATAATCTCTAGGCTTATCAAATCTGCTAGGGCCAGAGTAATTGGATATCGTCCTTTGTTCCCCCGTCCTACTAAATGTAGAATCTATCGTCCTTTGTTCCCCCGTCCTACTAAATGTAGAATCTATCATCCGACTAGAATTGATTAATTGATCTCGGGGAATCCCGAATCCTTCTGAATTTTTGTATTGTTCAGGTCTTTGGTTTACAGAGAGTCCACAGGATTGATCAGAGTGGATATATCTCCGGAGAACCTGGTTCTGATCCATCAAATGATCTGATGATCTGGATCCAACCTTCTCCAGAACTACACTTATCTCTTCCTTAGAATTTGCTGCTAGGGTTGCTGTTTCTGTTATTCTCGGAACAATCACAGAATCTGATGGATTAAAAGACGGTTTCAAGACATCTGAACCTGATGAGCTATTTGTAGAGATTATTACACTAGAAGATCTTGGAGCAAAAGATGAGCGTTGAACCCCGTTTCGTGAGATGATTAAGGATTCAAAGTCTGCCCTGAGAACCGGGTTTATATTAGAAGATCGATTCTGCGCAGAGGAATCAATGGTTTCAATCCTTTCTACTGAAATATCTGGGACTGAAAAACAGTCCGTGATTTTACAACCTACTCCATTTTCTGACCTACAAGACATCTGATCCTCTAATACGGGGCTCCTAAAAATATAGTGTTAAAAGAACCTGTAAATTTCCCTGTATGATAATTGAAGGACTGCAGTATGGTTTGGGTGAATTATATTGGCGTACAAAGCCTAGGGGTGTCAGAAATGATTTTTTTTGCATATTTTTAAAAACTTCTATAAAACTTTTAAAGTTTAATTTTTGATAAAACTTTTTGTTCTGGATGATTGCAAATATCTATCTAAAACTTTCTTAAACCGGCATATTTTTTCTATATTCATTTAGTTAAGAGTTTGAGTCAAAATAAGTATTAATAAATATTGCTTTATATCGAGTAGATATCCTTAAACATACCGATGTGAAACCTTTCAGAAAGTAGGAAAGATTCTGCAAAAAANAATCATCCAGAACAAAAAGTTTTATCAAAATTAAACTTTTTTAGGTTTATTGGACGTTTTCAAAAAACCGCAAAAAAAATCATTTCTGACACTCCTAGGCTTAGTACGTCAATATAATTCACCAAAACCATACTGCAGTCTTTCAATTATCATACAGGGAAATTTTCATCTTTCTAAACATCCCAACGAATGATTTGACAGGTTCTTTACGATTTTTGATACCATTTATTCAAAATCCTAACCTTTTACTCTTCTCTTCCTCTAATCCATGATCATTACAACCAGGAATGGGAGCAGATTCGAGAATTTCTTCAGAATTAGGCTCTAACATCTGTTCCTGCTTTAAACTATACTCAGGGTGCTCACTATCATACGGACCATCCTCGAAGGTCACAGCACTGATTAGCTCGTAGACCTTCGAGGCCTCTGAGGGTGTTATGATCCTGGCTACTAGCTCCGGTAGATCAGAGGATAAGGAGAGCAATATTTCACGGATAAGATCTGTGTCAGGGATCCGGGTTTCTAACATTTTAATCACTTTGTCAGTATCAATAGTAGATTTGCTAGTATCAATACTGGATTTGTCGGGAGGTTCTTTTTTTAATGGAGAATCACCGATTTCGATTTCCGTTGTAGTTTTTTTACCGTCTTTCACAACATTCTGGGTGTCGAGGAAATTATTGAAAGTCTTAATTTTTAGATGCGACATTTTTCTGAAATAGAGTTAATTATACAAGAAAACGTTGATTATTTGGTTATTCAATTTTAACTACATCGGGTGTGCGATAACATTTCTCCCCTTGAGTATTCTACGCATTAGCATCCGTCTTCCGCCCTCAGATTTCATTCGGTGATCTAGGCTAACCCTGAAAACAAAATAATACTGTTTCAAATTTGTATTTTTTAAAAACATTTTTTCTCAAACTTACTTATGATAACGTTTAACCTCGCTGGGATATGGAAACTCTATCCTAGGATGATAATTCTTCTTGTGTGCAAATAATTTCCTAAAATATAAATTATTCCAGTTTTAGTCAATATAATTTTAACTGTTTTAGGTTCAGAACTAATATCGAAATCTTGACTATGGAAATCACGCAACCTTGTACAATGTACATTTGAAAATTAAAAAGGAGGGGGGGGGNTTTAAAGGCTGTACAGTAAACGTTTCATAACTTACAGGTTTCAAGTCTTGGTTGTTAGACGTTAGCCGTAATATATCGTGGTTCAAGAAACAACCAGTTTTATTATGTAGCGTGATTCTTCCTAGCGCTTAGGGCGTACAATGTACATAAGAGGACCTCCCCCTCACTAATGAAGCCTATTCGCCACTTCTGAAAAAAAGAGTTAACCAGTGACCCCCAACCTCTAGTACTAAGAAGTGGTCTCCATCGATTTATTTCCAATCTGGTTTGGTTCAATGAGGGAGGGAAGGCCAAGCAGCCATGAACCCCGTGGAAAAGTCTCCGAAACCCTGCAGAAACAGTCTCCGAACCCCGTGGAAAATCTCCGAACCCTGTAAGGAGCAAAAAATGNTATTGAGTCCATATGTCGAGAAGATTGGAAAATTATTGCTAATTTACAAGTAATATTTATATTTGATAACGTTTTTTTCAAAAAACCTCCTCCACGGGGTTCGGAGACTCTCCACGGGGTTCGGAGACGTACCATTCCACAGGGTTCGGAGATTTTCCACGGGGTTCATGGCTTCTTGGCCTTCCCTCCCAAGTTCAACCTTCCACCAATTATAAAACTAAAGAACATCGAAAAGACGCGGTTTTTCTATGAGAATGAGGGGGTTTTCAAATTCTGTAAGCGCCCCTGGTCCTGCATATAATGCAAGGACGACAAACCTGTTTTGATGTTGCCAGCCTCGAACTGCAGGCACAGCAGTTCCCTTTTCTGTAAAGTTCTTTAAATATGTTCTACAGCTCTGCACTAGGATAGGTAGACCTGGAGAACTGAACCCGGCTGGACGGTTCTCCAACAACAACCGAACCAACAGAGACATTTCTTCTGAAATATATTAATAAAACGTTACATTCAAAATGAAACTGAATGAATATTATGTAGTTTGGCGATTTCTTTAAGGATAAATAAATCTATGATATGAAAGTAGAAGTTGTCCTTCCAAATACGGTTCAAAAATAACGATTTCTACTTTCAAATCTAAAAATTCATTCCTTAATGATTTTCAAATTGTACAGGATGGTCCACATCGACGTCAAGGACACTGAGGGCTCAAAACATGGTCGATAGTTCTGCTGTAGGTTCTTGACGACCTGATTTCTACTGTAGGTTCTTGACCACCTAATTTCTACTGTAGGTTCTTGACCACCTAATTCCTACTGTAGGTTCTTGACGACCTAATTTCTACTGTAGGTTCTTGACCACCTAATTTCTACTGTAGGTTCTTGACGTCCTGATTCCTACTGTAGGTCCTTGACGAACTGGAAGAGTGTTCTGGTAGGTCTACCCGACATCCCAGATCCCATATAGGAAACAGCTCCTTCATTCTCCATTACTCCTAGATTAATTTCAAGTCATCATTTCTTTCAAACTGTAATTCTACCCCTAAACTTGTTTTACTGTTATCAAAAGTAAGGAATTGTGTTAATATACATCTTTGCTGCTAAAGGTCACTTTACGAAAGAACCAGCAATTGAAAATGAACATTATTAGATTGAAAAAAAAGATATCTCCATTTCTGCTCAGCAAAGGTTTAATATTATCACCAGGTTCAGTTGTGAATCGATTATGTGACTCCATAAATGGATGGTCACTTGAAATTGCGTTGAAAGTCCCATGGAGTATCATCAAAGAACTAACTCATTATCATTATTTAATTTTAGTTTTAAAATTCAGTTTGGACTGTGTCATAACTTTCATGTGTACTTGCATCTCATATTGAAAAAAGTACAATTTTCCACATCTCCTAAAAATGAATACCTGCAATATCAAGATGCATCCAGTTTTTACAACTTGTGAATTCTTTAAGAAAAGCGGCAGCTGTACAGGCGCCCCCTCCTACACAAAATAATTAATGTTTGATTAACTACAATATTTATTCCAATGTTTTTTTTCGGTATCACTGTAATTTTTAGTTCAGATGTGAACGATGTGAACTTTTATTAAGATAGAGCTTAGCGCTGAGCTCGAATTCCGAAAGGTGAACTAAAAATTGAATTATTTAATTTTAATTTCTGGGATAGACCGAAATCAAACCGACAGGGCCGGGCCGGGAAATCGGCTGTGCGCTTTGAGAACGAATTAAGAGTTCACAAGTTTCGAACTGTGACCTGAAGTACTGAAACTGACCTGGTGTAAGGCTGATATTGTTAAGGTCAGCTAATGGAGATTTTTTCATCTGTTGTGTATAGTGCTGCCATAAAGGCATCCTAGAAAACATATCATTGAATTCAAAATTTAATGAGATTTGCAAGCTAAAATAAAATAGGGATTAGGGCTCAATGAGCCAGAATATAGTAGGGTTTAGTTGATAGACTGCAGTAGGGTTTAAGAAACTAAACTGGAGTAGGTTTTGAGAAATAGGCTGGGATGGGGGTAAAGAAGCTAGACTGACGTAGGGTTAAAGTAGCTATAGACTGGGATAGGGTTTAAGATTAAGCTCTGCTATACTTAATTAGGGTTTAAGAAGCTATACTATAGATTTAGAAGCTAAAATGAATTATAGAAGCTAGATTGAATTAAAGTAAAAAAGGAAGCTACAATGTATTAGAATTAGGAAATAGACTTAGACTAGAGTATGGGAAATGTTTTACTGGAGTAGGGGTTCAGAAACTAGACTGGAGTAGGGTTTAGAAAGCTTGAGTGTAATGGGGTTTAAGGAGTTAAGGAGCCAAAATTGAGTATTATTAGAACGAAAATCGGTAAAATGATAAAAAGCTAGAATAAAATATGGTCGGTCATGAAATTCAATAATATATTTCCTCCAAACTCTATCTCCGGTTTTCCGTCCTGCGGCTGAGAGAACATCAAAATCCTTTGATGAGGTTGAGAATACTCCGGTAGCTCCTGTTCCTAGCGCAACCATCATAGCTCCGGTTAGAGTTGCTACATCTAATACACATCTAAATAAAGATAATATTATTTCTAAAAAGATTGCGGGAGGTAATTTCCTAAACTAAACCTTGTTGTTAAACAAGCATAATTCTAAGTTATTTACAACAGCATATTTTTATGGTGGGAAGAAATGAAAGTATCGTAGTTGATGTTCTTTCATTTTAAAATGTTAACTTGGTAACAGGGTTTATTTTAGAAATTGATTTTGAAAGTTTGGCGAATTCTAAATAAACCCTAGTAGTTTGGGGACATAGTTATTCGGATAAAGGTTAAAAGTAAACTTGTTTTTGAATAGTTAAGTTGATGGTACTCCTGAAATTAACTGAACCACTTAAAATGACCCTGGAAATAAAATCCTACCGAGGGTTAAATTTATCAGCATAAGTTAGCGCATCTGCAAGAATTAGTCTTCCTTCTGCATCAGTATTATCAACCTGCAAAAATCAATATTATGTTTGTAAATATCTTACAAAATTAACTCAAACCATTATGAACTATTCAAATTCAATTTAACCTAATATTAATGAATTCAAAATGAATAAAAATAAAAAATTAACCTAAAAATCAACATGGCAAATAAAAAAGTTTATGTTAAATTTGTTAAAATTATTTAAAACCTGAATAGTTTTTCCATTCATAGCAGTGACGACATCTCCGGGTTTAGTTGCTCTACCCCCCGGCATATTTTCAGTCAGAGGAACCAACACTATTAGATTAACCGGCAAAGCCGCCTCCGCCACAGCTTTCAGGGTCGCAGTTACGGTCGCCGCTCCGCCCATATCCGCCCTCATTTTATCCATCTTGGCGGAGGGTTTGATAGAGATACCGCCGGTATCAAAGGTAACCCCTTTGCCTACCAATACTATCGGATCTGCGTCCTAGTAAAATTTACAATTCAGAAAAATATTTTTTTAAAATGAAAAAATATATTTATATTAAAATCCAATGAAAGCAACATTTTTTTAAGTTAAGATATTTGACGCAGACTCAGGAGATAATCTAGGTGGGGACTGGGGGGGGGGGGGGGCAAAATAAATTTGCGAAGTGTGGCAATAGAAGCACGGAAATATAATTGTTAAATATATGGGACTAAAGTGGAAATAAAAATATTTTATGTGTTCTTCTGTTTCAAAATGTAAAATTATCATGCGACAACCTGAAACTAATATGAATTGAGAATTTCCTTGACTCCGTTAAGAAAACTCATCTCTAGAAACATCGGAGGTTCACTAGATCCTCGAGATACACTCAGAAATGATCCCATTCCCATCTTCTCCGCCCAACTCTGATCCCTGAGTAAATCAAAACTTAATATTTTATTAATATTCTTCGCTTGTCTTTTGTTTCTTTCTTTGTGTCCAATAAACGTCTAAAAGACTGAACCGATCAGGCCTAAATTTTTGTGGTAACTTACAAGACACAAGGAAAAGTTTATGGCCCGTCGATTTTTTTTTAAATCAGCCAATGAGAATGAAAAACTTTGCGAGATTTGGATTTCAAATTTTACTCAAGGCTAACAGATAAATTTAAATTTAATTATAGTTCATTAGCATAAATTTTTTTTAATTCCTGAAAGTAGGAAATGATGATGATTAAACCTTTAAATGTGAGACCATTTTTTCATCGTCGACTTTAAATCTTATTTTATTTTCCCGAGGGTTTGTCATTTTTAGGAACTATTTCCTAAGCTTTTGTGAAAAAAGATGAGTTTTCCACAATACAAGCTTTTTCCCTCACAAAACCATTAACATTCACCATATATTACGGGGAACATTTTTTTTAAGGAGGGGGGTATTTCAAGACAATATTTCCAAGACTCTTGTACCTGGCTTCTATATTGACCGGAAGACCTTTCATCTGTTGAATGACCTCTGCTACGAATAGAGTTGGTGTAAGATGATTGGCGGGGCACTCCATCAGGTCTCTTGCAAAGTTTTGGGCACTTCCCAACCTTACTCCGTTCAACCATTCTTCAGTAAACGAATCTAAATAAATTCAATTCAAGTTTCTCTTCACACAACTAATGCTTTTTCTTTCAAACACAATATCGAAATTTCAATTTCTTTACCAAAATTTTTTAGATTTTTTTTTTTTTTGGTGTTTTTATTGACAAAGATTAAAAAATATTACATGAATCGCAATACTTTGGATTAAATATTATTTGGAAAGTTATATTTTCAGTTTTGTCTTATTGATACTTAGGTAAGTAATTTCACGCAACGGTGAGGTGGGCTTCAGGGACTTATTCAAGAATTTGTCCAGGGGGGTATAAAATTTTTTTCTTTTGCTGGTCCAGGGAGGGGGCTGAGCCCCGATAGCCTCCCCCTCCCTGAATACACCTCAGGTGTATTCAGGGATTGTGTAGAAAAAGTTATTTAGTATTAAAAGAAAAAATGTCCTCTACAAACTATAATTTAGTAATAATAATCTTTTAAAAGTGCACAAACCTCGCGGGGGGGGGGGGGATGGCTTTTGAAGAAATTGTTTGTTTTTACCCCTGGCGACCTATTTTCTGTTACTAACCTAGCGGGGTTACTGCTGGTCGAGGCTTCTTCTCTGCTTTAAATCTATCAAAAGCCCAGTTTGCCAAGGTTGCCCCCTCCCCTGCTGCCTCACAGTCTCCAAAATTCTCAATCTGAACTTCCTTTAATCCTAAGATAAAGTTCAGGACTCAGTAAGTAACTTCAAGTTTTAAGTGGCCCTTCATTTTAAAAAAGAAGGGCATGTCTGATTCACAATAGTTCCCTTGACACCCTTATCTGTTAAGTAGGTGTCGTTTTTTAACTTAATAAGTGTTAAATTCTGATAATTTCTCCATTGTTTCACAAGCAAGAAATGCTTAATTCACTTTTGTAAGGAACCCAGAAATGAAAATAATATTTTTTTAAACAAAAACCAGATCAGAAGTGTCATTTAAAATTACAGTCCCTTTCATCAACATAAAATGGTAAAATGTAACGATTATTCAATTCGAATTTCATTGAATATACACATTTGAAGCACATCAAGTTTTCTTGTTAAATAATAATTTAGAACATTGGAAATTGCAAATATATTTAGGAAATGCTAGGAAAAGGGTAATTTTTCTGATTGTTGACCCAAGAATTTAAGTTGTTATGTCGTAATCTACTAAAATATCAAAGACGATCTTCCATTCTTCTCTCCAAATTGTCATGTTTCGTGAGACACCCTGTATAGCCTACCTAAATCTGTGACAGCTCTGACTCCGGCTGCAGCAGCTTTCCTGACAGATTCCCGATCCATATCTATGTTTTCCTCGTCCTGTACTCCACTAGGTTTACCCAACCCTACAGCTACTACCTGACCCAGGTCAGGGTGCACCTTACCAACCAACCGCCAGCTACCACCCTACAGTACACAATATGAAATTAAAAAACATTGCGGAAAAGTGCAAAAAATATGTTTTTTTTTTTTTGACTTAAAATAACTTTAAAAACTAATGTATATAGGAACTAGGACTAAGTCCTAATATGATCAGGATTGGATTAAACAATACATGCCAATCAACACTGCTATGTTCGGCAGCTTCTGGCTTATCATAGGCCACATCTGGCTCATCAAAATAATTTATTGAAAAAAATAACTCACTTTATCTTAACATTCTAACACAATTTCTTAAACCATATTGATTACTCTATGCAATTAAGTTAATTAAAATTTTTTAACAGATTATGAAATCGATTTTTAAAAAGTCAACAAAAATTTCTCCGTTAAAATGTAGTACCTTGAGTAATGATCCAGAGTTGAGTAAACGAGAACTAATTTCTCCGCTAGCTAATGCATCTAATTTTTCTCCTAATTATCAATAAATTATGGTACTGAAGTTTTCAGCACTTTTTGGAATGATTATTATAAACTTTGTCGCTAAGGAATAATCAGTTTGAGCATGGGACATTCTTAGGAATAATCAGTTTGAGCACGGGACATTCTTAGGAATAATCAGTTTGAGCACGGGATATTCTTAGGAATAATCAGTTACAAACTACGATATCTTATGTGATATTTCCTGGAAAAAAAGACGTAAAAAACGACTAAAATTTTCCTGGTTACTAATTAAGAGATTTTTCGCCAGGACATAAGAAAATGTTATTACTCGAGATTAATAAATCAAAGCAGTATTTATTTATTTTTAAGGGAGTTTACAACAAAGAATGAAAATAACCAATTTAAAGCAGACTTTAATATTTAAAACTAAAAGAGGAAACAATAATCATGAAATTTCGTTAAAATGCCTTTACCGAATCGAGTGGGTCCCTTAAAAAAAGATTGGCAATAGAGAATGAACCTGCTCTGAATTCTACTTGATGATAAATAATAAATATGAACCTGCTCTGAATTCTACTTGATGATAAATAATAAATATGAACTTGCTCTGAATTCTACTTAATGATAAATAATAAATATGAACCTACTCTGAATTCTACTTAATGATAAAGAATGAACATGAACCTGCTCTGAATTCTACTTAATGATAAATAATAAATATAAACCTGCTCTGAATTCTCCTTAATGATAAATAATAAATATGAACCTGCTCTGAATTCTACTTGATGATAAAGAATGAACATGAACCTGCTCTGAATTCTACTTAATGATAAATAATAAATATGAACCTGCTCTGAATTCTACTTGATGATAAAGAATGAACATTAACCTGCTCTGAATTCTACTTAATGATAAATAATAAATATGAACCTGCTCTGAATTCTGCTTAATGATAAAGAATGAACATGAACCTGCTCTGAATTCTACTTAATGATAAAGAATGAACATGAACCTGCTGGTGTGAGTGTGAACGTGTTGTCTGCTTCTCCATGATGCACCCCAACAACTACAGCAGGCTGCTCTCCAGCAGCTAAAGTATACAGGAGTCTGCTGCTCTCTCCTACTCCCCGTAAGCAGCCTCGCATTTTCAGCAGCATCTGAAATTTAGTATCTTGAGAGTTTCAACTTTTTTTTTTACAAATTTTGATTTCACTGACAAAGAAAAATTTAGTTTCCGTAGTTTATCAATCAATAAATTGAAAAGGACTGTAAACGGAATTTCAAAAGATCCTTCATTCACGGAGGGGCATGTTCAATTCACAACGAATATTTTCTATCTTAAACCATGTTGAATTAGGACAGTTTCCTTCAATGTCTCTATAGCAAAAGAGCGGCTCTTCGGAGTGTGATTAGCAAACTTACTCCACGTGTTCAAATCTGACACGTTTCTTAATTTTCTCCTTTTAATTAAAAATATCAATTTTTAGAGGAGAAAAAAAAGAAAAGGTTAATATTCATCTCTGATCGGACTAAGGGTTAAAAGGATCCACATCAATCTTGAATCGAACATGCCATTCTACAACTGGAGAGTCACTTGGAATTAAGTCCACAGTCCCTTAAATAAGTTAACTACATTTTATAAATTAAATTAAATTTACAGAGAAGCTGTCAATATCGACAGCAATGTACAGAATAATAACAATAATAACTTAAATAAATTGGAAACCCACACTGTCTGTGGTATTTTTTCATTGGTATTTTTTCATTAAGTCATAATTTTTGATAGAAATAAATAATAAAGAAAATTTACAATTTACATCACAACATTATAAAAAAGAGACAAATGTTTGGCTTCCCCTTACAGAATAATTTTATCTCTTAGGGTTGGATTTATTAAGACATTATATAATGATACACTTCTTTTTCATCTGCAGTTTAGATAATCTATTAGAACAAACGGAAGTCCATTGTTTTCTCCCAACCTTTCTAGTTTTGAATAAAATTTCTGTTTTGAACTTGAATTGCGTAAACACTTCCACAAGACGAGTCTACTCTGACGCATCAAACTGCGCGGATTTTGAAGTTCTGATTCGACCAACTCTGTGAGGTCGGGGTTCTTAACCCTGATCCAGCTGAGATTATTCTGTGTAACCCTGCAGCCGACCTCTAGTAGGAACTTGATCACGTCCTGAAAGTTTTCCACCGTGCTCGCGCGATAGAGCACTGTAGCGCCAGTATTGTCCTTGGCGTTGAGATCACTGCCGTTTATTATTAGAATTCTAAGAATATCTTGAGAATTTTCTCGCGCTATTCGTTCCATACTGTTGAGCTGTTCCGCACTTAGGTCCCAAGACCAAAGCCGTCTAAAATATATTTATGTTGAAGAATAGGGATCAAACATATTTTCAAAACAATTCAATCCGATCAATGAAAGTACAGTCAAGTTCCAGGGGTATTTCATTTCAAGAATTACACCCCAGCTCAGGGGGGGAAATGGGTTTGATGATATATAGAAAAACGTCCGGCAAGTTTTTTCACTCCCTTTGAATACTTTTTAAACAACCCTTTATTTGTGATAATTCCCTTAGAAATCATTTATTTCCTCAATTGTACAGTATACACCCCTTTTAAACTCAATTGGACTTGATCTGTAAGAAAATGTACCCCTCAAGACAATACCTTTGATGTACAGTGAATAAAATATTTGATTTCGTGTCTTTAATAATACTTTTAAGAAATTCTTTTCACATTTTCAGGTGCTGGGCTTTAAACTGGTTTTAAAAACGTAGCTAACATTATAGAGCCACCACCCCCCCCCCCACAAAACAAAATTATGAAGAAAAAAAATTCATTGAATTAATATTAATTTACCTGAAATATCCATGCTGATCTCCAACCCTAAAACATTCGAGGATTTTATTAGAACATTTACAAAGTAGGAAAAGTTTGAATATTTAATTCAATGTTCATACATTTCAAACAATTCGTATACAATTAAAGAATCTGATGTTTTTTATTTAAAAATGCTGACCAAGTAAGTGTACTGCACTTTCTGTGTAGAATGTAAACAAAACAGTCCCAAAATGATTTTTTTTATTCCTCACAAAAATTCCAGTGCAATGTTTATATAAACATTTTATAAAGATCTTGAGGTTCCTAGTGTATAGATTCCTTGATTTCAATCAGCTGTTTTATATTTCTCAAATACACTGATCAGTATAAAACCTTTTATTTAAAACAAAGTATCTCTTACGTTTGAGCTAAAAGGGTTTGAAGACATAATTTAAATTAACTCTCTATTTTACGAGTAGCCTGACGGATTCATAACGGTAACCTTTAATCCTTTATCTGAATTACAATATGGATGATACATCCTTTGATATATTTTGAAAAGTGTTTACTTCTTACAATCTTCTTAGTTTCTATAGCATAAATACGCAAGCTACTTTTGTAGAGAAACCACAATTGAAAATAATCAATTTTCCCATAGAAAAACTAGGAAACCCAATGGTTTAAAGGATACGGTTGTGAATCAGTAATATAAACCTCTGATGAGTGAAAACATGCCTGTTAGTTCCATGATTACAAGCGTGAAATAAAGCTGTGAATCCTTCTTTATCTCTCTGGTCCAGGATTAAGTCATCTCTCTGAACCAGAACCTCAACAACATTCCTGAATACAAACATATTTTATCCTACCTAGAATCAATACACTTCCATGAATAAATTCTATTATATGTTTTACTCTCTGCTCTACCTGTGTCCTGCTCTACTTCTAGATCTCTACCTGGGTCCTGATCTACTATTAGATCTCTACCTGTGTCCTGCTCTAATACTAGATCTCTTCCTGGGTCCTGATCTACTATTAGACCTCTAGCTGTGTCTTACTCTACTACTAGATCTCTACCTGTGTCCTGCTCTGCTACTAGATCTCTACATGTGTCCTGCTCTACTAACAGATCTCTACCTGTGTCCTGCTCTGCTACTAGATCTCTACATGTGTCCTACTCTACTACTAGATCTCTACCTGTGTCCTGCTCTACTACTAGACCTCTACCTTTGTCCTGCTCTTTTGCTAGATCTCTGCCCGTGTCCTGCTCTACTACTAGACCTCTACCTGTGTCCTGCTCTATTGCTAAATCTCTGCCCGTGTCCTGCTCTACTACTAGACCTATACCTGTGTCCTGCTCTACTTCTAGATCTCTACATTGCTCAAACACTAGATCTCTACCCGTTTTCCTGATCTACTACTAGATCTCTACCTGCGTCTTGCTCTACTAGATCTCTACATTGCTCCACTACTAGATCTCTCCCTGTTTCCTGCTCCACTACTAGATCTCTACCTGTGTCCTGCTCTACTAGATCTCTACCTGTATCCTGCTCTACTAGATCTCTACCTGTGTCCTACTCCACTACTAGATCTCTACCTGCGTCCTGCTCTACTAGATCTCTACATTGCTCCACTACTAGATCTCTACCTGTGTCCTACTCCACTACTAGATCTCTACCTGCGTCCTGCTCTACTAGATCTCTACATTGCTCCACTACTAGATCTCTACCTGTGTCCTACTCCACTACTAGATCTCTACCTGTGCCCTACTCTACTATTAGATCTCTACCTGTACCCTACTCTATTACTAGATCTCTACCTGTGTCCTGCTCTACTACTAGATCTCTACCTGTGTCCTGCTCCACTACTAGATCTCTACCTGTGCCCTAGATCTCTACCTGTGTCCTGCTCTACTTCTAGATCTCTACCTGTGCCCTGCTCTATTACTAGATCTCTACCTGTGTCCTGCTCTACTACTAGATCTCTACCTGTGTCCTGCTCCACTACTAGATCTCTACCTGTGCCCTGCTCCGCTGGCCAGCATGAGAGGAGTAAGGTTTCCAGGTCTCATGTTGATACTAGGACAGGGTAGGTTTACATCCATACCTTCAACCAATACAAGTTCTCTGATCAATAGTCAATATAAAAACATTGTACTGTGATGTAAATTATTAGAGGATTTTGGCGCAAGCAAGTTTTAGTTTGATCATTATAAATGCCCGTTTTGTGAAAAACCTATTTCTTTTTCACAAACCTGAAAACTTATTTTATTTTCTTAAAAGTTGTTAGTTCATGATCGAAAAATCCTAACAATCCACCACCAGTGATAATAAATGTAATGTAAACAATAAAAATGTAACTGTCCTTTTCCTTTCCTTCTTTTTAAAATTTGGGGGGAAATATTCCTACAACCCCTATTTTTAATGATTTTAAACATTTTCTCCTGAAACATTTAATTTTGTCTGTTCTTGTTGTATTATATAAATAAATAATTACTTACTTAAAGCGGAAAATCTACCTTTAACTCTTGTTAGAATAGTAAGATAACTTTTTAAGTTTATCTCATTTAAGATATTTTGCTACATTGACAGGACGGATACAGGGGAGGGGGGGGGGGTGCGGGGGTACCTTTGCACCCCCCTGACGGACTCAGGGGAGTGCTCTGAGATTTTGAGGGAAAAAATGTTCCCAATTTGCTAACATAATTTTCTTAATTTATTTCATCTTTTGTACCCAGTTTCATGCATGCATTAAGAACATAAGAACAAAAAATGAAATACATAATCTAAGGAACAATAAAAATATTGTTAGGCAATAAACAAAACTAAAGGATTTAGTCCCAACGGGACTGCTGAGAATCACTACAGAAGTCAAGTAAAGTAATCTAAGGACACACTATTAGGAATAGGAACATAAATAGGAACACAAATAGGAACAATAAGTTACAAGTTAGGAAAAAAATGGAAGAACTAGGAATTCCGAACAAATATTAAAAAACTAAAACATGAAATGATGATCAACACATACATATGCGAAAAAATTGTCATTTGTGCTGTACATGAAATAGAAATAATATTCAATGTCAATAATAGGAACATAATGCAAGTTAAGAACAAAAAGAAATTACTCGGAAAGATATGTTTTTAGTTATCCTTAAGCTTGCAGTTCGAATTTTAGTTTTGAGAAAACTGAAGATTTGAGTTGTTTTTTTTAATCTTTTAGTCATTCACAATTTATATATTACTTTCCCTGTATTAAAATTAGTATCAACTATTCGGGATTCAAAAATTTTCAGTAATACATTTATTTATATATTAACTCAAATGTATAAATCTTATACCTCCAGTTTTTTTTTAATTAATTATTTACTATTACTAAAAGTAAGTATTTACTAGGACATATAGTCCTACTGTGGACAAGACCAGATTGAACCCTACATCCCATTCATCGCTGCTATGGTCGGCAACTCCTGGCTCTACAATGTCCCTATCAGTGGGGCGCTTGATTCAAGACTTCAAGTAAACAAGTAAACTCTTTAAGTCTCTCAACTTTCCAAAATGATCATCCTAGGTTTTTCTCAGAAATCAGTTGGATTTTTCAATAAAAAATACAAAAAATAAACAAAGCCAGTTGGAGCTGTTAAAATTTTTTAAACAAGTAAGAGCCAGTTTCAGACCATACATCCTTTGGTGGCTCCATAATTGTTGGACTGTTGGAATGCTGAAGTGGCCGGAGCAGAACTCCTTTGTTTTCTTATACCAGTTTTTTGTTTTGATGCAAAAAGCTTTTTAAAAACAAAATGCAAAACAGGCAAATATCTATCTTAATAAACTGTAATGTGTGATAAATTAATAATATATTTTTTAGTCTTTAATCTTTCATTTTGACCCTTTTAAGGTCCATCAGGTTAAACAAAATTTTCACCTAAGGCGCTCCACATTTTAGTTCCTACTTGCACATTTTTTGGGTACTTAAAAATTCCTGCACCCCCCCTAGCTTAAATCCTGTATCCACCCCTGTACATTGATACATGTTACTAATTATCGTTTTCACTTCCAAAATTCAACCAGTCATAAGAAAAAGTTGACTATTCCCTGGCTAAGTTTGCCCATCCTGAGTCACAAGCAATATGAAGAAGATTCATCTTCCCCATGTAGAACTGTTCGTCAAGGTTGAGCTTGAACCTCTTCTGGATCAGACGGAAGGTTTCAGCGTTGTCCTTGTTGTGCAGGAAGTATCTGGAGAAATATTGAGGACTATTATTTTTAGATTTAAAATTCGGTTATGGTGATGGACCAAACCTCTGTAGAGTAACAAAGTAGATATTAGTTCCACATTTATTGAAAATATATTTCGGTCTGGGTTGACCATAGTCAGTTCTTGAGATTGTTTCTTCACAAAGATTAAAAACAAACTTAGTTATTATGATTTAACTAGTTTCTATTTTAATCTAAAGTTTTTCAAAAATAAAAAATTGACGTCGTTTTTGAGGAAAAAATTGTACTTCTGTAAAAAGAGGGAGGGGGTGGTAAAATTAAAATTTGTCATTTTACTTATATATATCATTTCCCAAGATTTATTAACACTAGAAAATTTTATTACAAAATATTTGATATATTTGGAAGGGATTTAATTTTTCTACATTTTACAATACACTTATTAAACATTTATGATTGGAATTTTATTCTTCAACAAAAAAAAAGGAAAACTGAGGCCGAACTTAAAGAATTTAAACCGCGTTGCTGACCCGCCGGAAACCAGTTCCAATTGAGCGCCGGCTCAAAACTCGGAAACACTTACAATTTCAAGTGGAACCAACCATGTTTGAACCGCGTCTCATATTTGAGCCACGGCTCAAATTCTTTAAAATCGGTCTCACACCTGTTTCTTACCTCATTTTCATCTTATCTGATACTCTAGGATGTGTTGCCATTCGTTCCATACAGGCATCCAACCATTCCCATTCATTAAACCCAGGACTAAAATAACATTAGAGGGTTTGAGTTTAATAAATAAGGGGGAGGGACCAGTGCTAGAGAGGAATCTAAAATAAACGAAGAAATGATAAGATGACCAGTTATTTCCAAAATATAGACCATGACTATGTATTAGGAAAAGTGGTTTTTAATGATATATATATATGATTCGAATAATTCCTTAAAGCATGTAAAACAAAAGTTCTTTGTTTTTGTTTTAAGAAAACCCGTTTTTCAGTGAAATTGGGGCCAGCGGTTGGAAATAATTTGATTTTTACTACAAACACCACTTTTTTGCAGATCTGTTTGAAATCCTTACATGCAACCAATAAGTTTGTTTTTTCTCATTCTTGAGTGCCAAATTAAAACTCTGAGAGTTACGAAGTCGAAAAGTCGTTCCATTATATGATCGATGTTTAGATCCGAGTGAAAGTACCTTGAGCTGACCTCGATGAGTTTAAGACAATGTTGGTAGTAGCTGAACAAAGATCTAGCCTCGGTTATGAAGGAACTAGGACAGGTCCCAGGATCACAGGGTGTCTAGGAGAATAATTAAGATATCTATTTGTGTTCTGTCACTGATGTAAATCCTGAACCGGGACAAGAAAGGCCGAGCGCTATGGGCGAATCCTGAATAAAAAGTGACAAATGAAGATAGGGCAATGCGTCAACACTTAAGGGACCTGAAGGCTTGAGGAGACGGATCATGCACTCCAAAAAGGGGCAACTTCTGAGGATACATTTCAGCTAGAACAAGGGACCGAGTTCTGGGGATAAATTGATAAATAAGAGAAGGAAAAAAAGATATGAACAAAGCACTCATGTGAAGTAACAGAGGTTCACTTAATAATATGGCATACAATGTCAAATTGCTGGATTTTTATTGATCAAGTTTAGATTATTTGAACAACTCAAACCAACTCCAAGAATTGAATAATAATTTTTGGTCGATTTTATACTTTATTTCATTGTTAAAGAGAAGAGAAAAACGGGTTTAGATAAAGAAGATGATAGAATTACTGTACCAGGGGTTGTTGTGATGGTTTAGGGAATGAGTCCAGGGGTGGGAGAGGTTCAGAAACTCCAGCTCCTCCAGGTACCGGTACATCAGGGATCGAGTTCATTATCATGGATACAAGTTCTCCAACCTAGAACAACAGCTGTAAAAGATAATTACAAAACGTTTAATAAAAGAGCAGGACTACAAGGACTACAAGACGCATTACACTTAAATAATTTTGTCCATTAACTAGTAATATTCATATTTTGATCTGATAAAGTTTGTTTAAAGAAAATTTGAGAAAATGGGGCCGCAAGAACAGTTTTTATAGTTGCTGCATTTAGATTTAGCACGAATTGATTTACTAAAAAAATAAATCAGATTGAAACAAGTATTTGTTACGGATTAAATTATGAATTCATGAAAACTAAAGAAAAACTGAAATAAAAAATAGAAAACGAAGTTGAGTTTTTAGCTTAGTATTCACTTAGTTTTCGTCATTTTATGCATCAGGAACATCTTTAAGCGATAGAAGATAAACTTAATTGTGTTTCTATTTTCTAAAAAAACGGAGGAATTATAGATATTTTGAAATTAGTAAATACTACATTTAACAATGTGTGTCCGAGCACTGTCTGTACCTGTTGTATTGCATTAGTATCATCTCCATCTCCTTGAACCTCGGCAGCCTCATCCTCTGAACTCTCAGACATATTTCATCTGGAAAATTAGAAGATATCTGGTCACGTGATAGCAACGGTGAATACTGAACATTAAATGTAAACATTTTTTTTTTGGATCACAATGATAGTTCTCGTTCCTGTTTGTGAAATAGGGATGTAACTGAATAAGAACTCTTTTGGTGAAGTGAGAGTGGGGGGGGGTGCGGGGGTCGTTAGTCTTTTACGGTGTCTTTAACGTTTTGGACAGTGAATAGACTAGAGATCAGTGTTTTTAAGTTATTTTAACAAATCAGGGTTTTAATCAGTTTAATCCTTTGATTCAAATATCTCAAACTGATTGATTGATTGATGGATTGATTACATCTTCTTGGCGCAGAAGTAGACGGACTTGTAGGAGTACTGAAGCATGCTGGCCGGGTTCTGGTCGTAGGTCGTCATTATATCCTTCTCCTCCTCCTATTTAACAGAGTAAGGATTATTAAAGGAACTGTACTTGTATATTGAATATAATAACTAGGTAGTTAAAACATTTCTCTTACCATAATCTCGAATCCGAAATCTTTAATGATTCCACGGACACAGTCGTAGCTCGGTTCTATACTCGTCTCACCTGAAGTGAAAAAAAAACTTTGTAAAATTAAAGAACAAAAAGGAGGGTTTTATACTTTTCCTGCTTTTTTTCCTTTCTTTTCCTATTTGTTTCCCCAACCCTCTTGGCAACCAATCAGATGATAGAACTAGACTGACTAAACGGAAAACCAACACCACCATCAGAAGTAATTTCTTTACCCAAAGAGGCATTGATGATTGGAACCAGTTACCCAGCACAATAAGAGAGTCCCAAAATATCAAGATATTTAAAAGAAATCTAGATCAATATCTATCTTCTTCTGAGATGAACTGATGAACTGAGAATATGACAGGATCTCCAGAAGAAGACTGTGTGGAAAAGATGTTGCTAAATGCCCCTAGCGGGGGCTACACCAGCTACTCTCCAAGCATACAAGTAAGTATCATCCCAACCCCGACCCCGTTCCAACATCCATCCCAATCCCCTTTACAACCCTCGTCCAAAACTCTTTACAACCCTCTTTCAAAACTCTTTCCAAAACTCTTTCCAAAACTCTTTTTAAAACTCTTTCTAAAACTCTTTCTAAAACTCTTTCTAAAACTCTTTCTAACTCTTTCAAAACTCTTATCAAAACTCTTTTCAAAACTCTTTTCAAACCTCTCTCCAAAACTCTTTCCAAAACTCTTTCCAAAACTCTTCCTAAAACTCTCCAAACCTCTCTCCAAACCTCTTTCCAAAACTCTTTCCAAAACTCTTTCCAAAACTCTTTTCAAACTCTTTTCAAAACTCTTTCTCCTAAACTCTCTCCAAAACTCTTTCCCAAACTCCTTTCCAACCTCATTTCCCTTTTAAAGAGACAGTGCACTATACAGTTAAATTACTGACCAGGCATATCAGAGAAATGGTAGAGAAGAGGTCCAAGGTTTATCCAGTATCCTCCCGGTTTTAAAACCTGAAATAATAATGATAATAACAATGATAATAATGATACTAATTCATAATTATATTAATATAATAGGGCTTGGACATATTTCAATTTCGATATTTACAAAACATGTGAACACTTTTCAGAGTCTTCATGAAGTCCACTTTATTGCCTTATGAATTGTCTGTATGATCTAAATACTTAATTAACTGTCTTTTTGATTTACCTTCTGAATTGTCTGTATGAAGTCCCTTATATTAACTTCTGAATTGTCTGTATGAAGCCGAATATATTACCTTATGAATTGCCTTTATGAAGTCCACTATATTACCTTATGAATTGTCTACATGAAGTCCCATATATTACCTTATGAATTGTCTACATGAAGTCCCATATATTACCTTATGAATTGTCTACATGAAGTCCCATATATTACCTTATGAATTGTCTACATGAAGTCCCATATATTACCTTATGAATTGTCTGTATGAAGTCCACTATATTATGAGCACAATCCATAAAAAAACAAGTGGCCACACAGTCTTGACTACTCACGTATTCAGCCTCGTTATATACTTCCAGAAAATCCCCAGCAGCCATGCTAAACCTGATAAAAAAAAATTATTTTATTACAATTTCAAAATTTGTAGAAATTCATATTTATGCGAAGCCCAAAATCTTTAGGATCTTATACACTTGTGAAGGGACAAGAATCACCTCGACAAAAAATTATACTCGCTCGGGAAAAAATGTTTACAAAATTGATTTAAAGGGATAGTAAAGGAAAAATGAAAGAGGGTATAGGCTGAAAGCTAATCACTTTAGCTCTTGATCGCGACACCCCCTTTCATTTTTCCTTTACTGTCCCTTTAAGAGTACTTTTAACCGCCAACTATTTTAGATTTTTTCTCAAAATCTTCGAAAACATTTTTCACAATTCAGCGATTAAATGTTTTAGTGCTATGGGAGACTATTCCTTATGAACTGGGGAGGGGCCCGCGGCCGGGGGTGATTTGTTAATGAAATAAATACCCCCGGAGAACTTACTTTCTGTCCTCTGGAAGTTGGTTAGGATCAACATCAGGGAAGTGAACAGTTTTTAACTGGTCCTCGTCAGATATATTGTTGCAAAAGTTGTGAATGTAGGGTTGGATCTAGAAATATCAATCAATCTACCTTTCAGCCTGCCAATCGATCAATCTCACTCAATTAATCAATCTATCAACCAATCAATCAATCAATCAATTATTATTTATCAATTTAATCTTACTAACTGGTAAGATCTAGCAATATAAAGCAATCAACCAACCTATCAACCTATTAACCTATTAACCTATTAACCTATTAACCTATTAACCTATTAACCTATTAACCTATTAACCTAATAACCTATTAACCTATCAACCTATCAACCTATTAACCTATCAACCTATTAACCTATCAACTTATTAACCTATCAACCTATTAACCTATTAACCTATTAACCTATTAACCTATTAACCTATTAACCTATTAACCTATTAACCTATCAACCTATCAACCTATCAACCTTTAAACCTATAAGTTATTTAGCAAATAAATAAATCTTTTAAATCAATTTTGATCAAACATTCTTTTCCAAAAACGCAACGGTTTAAATTACATTTTTTCTGTTTGCAACTTTGTTTTTTATATATATTTATATGTATCAATCAATCAATAAAATTTTGACTAATTAATTATTTAATTAATTGATACATCGTTCAATCAATCAATTAAGTTATGGAGCTAAAGTTTGCGTTTTGTGGCCAAAATAACTTAATTTTAATCAATGAAAAGTTCAAAAAAATATTCATTTCACTTAACTAATTAAAACTGCATTGAAGTTTACCTTGAAAGAGTTGATAGTTGTACACTTGTTGAGAACAAAATTAGAGGTGAACAGCATAAACAAAGAGAATTCGTTTCCTTGACACTCGAACCCCATCTGGGCAATATCAAATGCCAACCTTGAGAACAAGTTGAATCAACATAATTTCAGAAATCTATCTATTTGATGATTTCAAAGCGTTAAAGTTTGAAAAATAGAATCCTACACAGTTTCTGTACATCGGGGAATAAAAACTTAACAAAACTATCATCAAGGAAAAAGTCAAAAACTAATAATTTGCTGAATTTTTGTCTAATAGCGATTTTAAATACACTTTAGATTTTTGGTAGAATATTATCGCATAAATAGGAGATTTCTAGTAGAACATTATCCCAATAAGCTTTAGATTTTTGGTCGAATATCATCCAAAAAAGGTTTAGATTTTTGGTAGAATATCACCCAAATAGATTAAAAGTAGATTTCTACTTTCTAATGAATCATCATCTCTTTACATAGTAGATTTCTAGTAGAATATTGTTTGAATGAACTGAAGATTTCTATTTTCTAGTGAATTATCATCTCTTTACATAGTAGATTTCTAGTAGAATATTGTTTGAATGAACTGTAGATTTCTATTTTCTAGTGAATTATCATCTATTTAAATAGTAGATTTCTAGTAGAATATGGTTTAAATGATTTCTAGTCTATTTTTCATAAATTTCATTTTCTTCGTATTTTCTTAAAGATCGAGACAAGGATTTATTTTTGATTTTTTTAAAAGCGCAAAAGCTTATTAATATTTTACGATTGAATGTTTTTGGAAAAAGAAAAAAATATTGAAGTTTTTCTAAACCTTACCGTCCTAACCCAGCTCCCGGCACCAAAACCTTCTTGGATTCTCTTTCCTCTTCCTAAAATTTATTGACATCTACATTGTTACTATAACTATTACCAATAGACAACCCGTCATTCAAAGAAGTAGAGTCTCCTCTCCGATCTTACGTTTCCAAAGATAATATCTCCACTACTCCGATAGGAGGACTATTGCTGGGCGGCCCGCCCGGAATAGAACCATTTCTGTTTCTCTAGTTATACAAAGTTTTGGATTTGAACTTAACTTAAATTCATTGAGTATTGAACAGATAATTTTCATACGCAAAGATGATTACTTTTTATTCAACAGGGTAGGTAGTGAGAAACTGACATTTTGTACGATATTCCCCCCCCTAGGATTCTATGATTTCGCTAAAATTTAATAGTTACCCCCGGGATAAATAAAGCTTTTTTCCTAAAAAGCTCAAATTCAGGGGGGGGGGGGGAAGTCTTCGGGAATTTTCGAATTGCTGAATTTTTTTACATAATGGGGAAAATAAATAACTTGTATAGAAAAGCTAAAATTGAGAAGAAAAAAACTTTCATCTCTTTGCTTATTTTTTTCCATATAAAAAAGGAAATTTGAGAGAGGGCTAATACTTTTTTAAATATAGGCCCCTGACGTACACCATCATTACACACTACACCAACCTTGAATAGAACTGCCAGTTTATCAGTTATCTTCTTATTACACGCACTTCTCTCCTCTATACCAGCTTCAGACCAATCTCTCACCAGCTGCTTCAAACAGGACTAAACAAAATATCATGAAAAAAACATCATTAATATTCTTTTATCTTATTAAAGTTTTGAAAATGTCCAACAACCACAACTCTTTCTTAGATGATAATATTTATAGTCTTCGCAACTTTCAGAATCATGTGACGGAGTTTCCAGTTTAGACTTTGCTTTACAGCGTACCGTTGTGAAATGAACATGACACTCTGTAAATGAAGGGTTCTTTTCAAATTACGTCTACAGTCTCCTAAGAGATGGTCCATATTTATAGTTGTTTTCTATCCCAGATCCATGAGAAGTAAACAAATTTCTTACCTGGACCTTCTCCATATCTGCTCCATTAGGCATTGTTCGTTTATCCTTCTCTCCTAACAAATTGATTGATTGATTTAATTTAATAGGTTATTGATGACCGAGCATCAGAAGCCCCCCCCCCCTCGCACTGGAAAAAAACGTTATAATTGATTTTCTGCAAGAACAAAAACGAAATTTTATTTTTTTTCTCAAAGTTGTGTTTCGTTTACTGAAAATATTTTTTTTACAAAAAATCTAATTTTTCTTTTAAATGATTTCTAAAATTTTACTCGGAGTACGGTGGTAGGCGGAAATATCAATATAATAAAGACGACTTTCGATTTCAATTTTGATTTATATCAAGCTTTTAAACAGCATGGATACAAAAAAGTAAAACCAAAGAGAAGCTGTCAATTAAAAAAGCTTCTCTTTAATTACTTGCAAACTTGTAATTCGAACAAAGCTTGTTACAAATAAAAACCTAAATAAAAAGTCGTCTTCATTATATTCATCTTATCGCCTACCACCGTATGTGAAATCGTCTAATGCAAATAGATTATCAAGTACAATAGGTGGCAACAGAGCAATGGATCAATTATAAACGACGTCACAAGTGTCAAATATAAGGAAAACGAAATTTTCTCACGTTGGTTGACTTTTTTTCTAAGATTAAGTAAAAAAGTGTAAAAAATAAACTAAAGAACGCAGCAAATTGTACTTATTTTACTGTAAGATAAGCACTTTATTCTAAAATTATCACTATTATTAATAATTTTGTCGGACACAAAAACTAAGTTGACACTTGTGACGTAAGAATACAGCTGTACTGAGAGTGTACAAATTCTACGTTGCTATCTATTGTACTAGAACCTATTTGGTCTAATGTTACCTTTACTTTGATGGGTGAGATTATCGAATACATTGTCAATATCTTTGAGAATATGCTGAACTATTTCATTGTTTACATCTACAGCACTCTTCAGATCATTCAACATGCTCCCATATCCGTTCTTTCTACATTAAAGGGACTGTAACCGTAATTTCAAGTGATCCTCCATTCAAAGTGACAATGCCCGATTTACAACGGGACCCTTAAAAGCTTTTTGTGATCAAGAATGAATTTGATATTAATGTCTTAGTTTCTTTAAACTGTTTTTAAGTCACTAGCGAATTCACTGCTTTTAAAAAGCAATGGAGAAATTATTTGACTCACACACGTACTATCGAGTCAGAAAAACGATTGTATCTTCCACATAAAGGCTTCAAGGGTACCGTTGTAAATCGGAGATTGCCATCTTTGCAGGATGAATCACTTAAAATTACGCTTACAGTCCCTTAAATCTATATAATAAAACAAGACATTCATATATATATATATTTATATATGTTGCGTCTAACCGGCCAAACGGCTGGACCGATTGGGCTGAAATTTTGTGTGGACACTCATGGGTGGCCGGGGGGTGTTATAGGCTAAATGAAATTCGAAATTTTTTTTCAAAATTTTTATTTTTTTTTTCAAAATTTTTTTCCACGGGCAACGCCAGGCCTTTCATCTTGTCTATATAACAAAACAAGACGTTCGTATATATATATGTTGCCTATAGCCGGCCAAACGGCTGGACAGATTGGGCTGAAATTTTTTGTGGACACTCATGGGTGGCCGTGTTAAAGGTTAAAAAATTCTAAAGTTATTTCATTTTATTTTTTTATTTTTTTATTTTTTCAAATTTTTTTCCCACGGGCAACGCCGGACCTTTCAGCTAGTGTATTATAAACTGCATATTCTATTTATTGGCAGACTATCACAAACTAACTAACCTGGGACCGAATTTAATAAATAGCTAGAGGTAGTTAAACTAGAGGCCGAATTTAAAGAACTTAATCGGCGGCTTAAATCTAAGCCGCGGCTCAAATATGGTTGGTTTCACTTAAAATTGTATTCAATGTTTCAAGATTTAAGCCAGCGCTCAATTGAAACCGATTTTTGGCGGATTTTAGACGCGGCTCAAATTCATTAAATTCGGACATAGATTGACTTATTTTTATCACTTCTCTTGAACTTGAACCAGCGCATAAGAAATGTGGTTCAACTTATATAGTTTAACTATTTCTGGCTATTGGGTAGTTGAATCAGCCATATTTCTAAAATTCTCAATATTTTCGACGACAAGGATGGACAATGGACATTTCTTAACGATAAAGCATTTTACAAGATTTCTAAATGGTTTCTGTAATTTTAAATTCAAGAAATTATTAAGAAATATTGTTAACATAATATGATATGAGCGTGAAAATTAATCTACGTTATTTTAAGACATTTCAATGGTTAGCAAATGTTTAAATAATAATTTCACGGTCGGGGAAATCGTTTTAACTTAAAGAACTTTTGCTGTATTTCATTTTGCATCTTAGTCGAGGGCAAGGTTGTATAATATGTTTGGTTACTCGCGATGCGCTCCGATGTACGGAAAATGTCGTCTTCTAAGATAGATAGATAAAAACCTCATATGACGTCACTGATTAGAGAGGCGAGAGTAACGTCATACGAGTTTTTTATCTATCTATCTTAGGAGACGACATTTTCCGTACATTAGAGCGCATCGAGAGTAACCAACCTTATCATACAACCTTGGTCAACGGAGAATATTCTCGATTCAAAGAGTTTCCCATTATAAATATAATTAAATTTTCATAATTAAAGATTTTACTTGAGCAGTTTTTGATGTTCTTGTGGGAGTTGGTTTAGATAGTTCTCCTTCCTCTGAATCACATTCAAGGAGTGCTTCTTGTAGATCCGGAAGGCGTTGATAACCTGAAATATTTTTTCTTTCTGGGATTTTAAAAGTGTGGATCCAAATTTTTCCTAGTTTCTGGAAATAGTTAAGAATTCCAAAATCAGGAAAAAGTAAAATGCAAATACAATTTTTTTAAAGTTTTAGCTTATTTATCTTTTTTAATAATTTACCTTTTGAAAATGCAGACGCTCCGCCTCTTCCTCTTTTACCTCCGGCACTTCCGCCCTGGGGATCTCCGTAGCAACACTCATCTTTCTGAAACAACCATTGTTACATTTATTCAGAAAATTCAAAAATAAGAAAACATGATGGGGAAAAAAATGTATACAATTAAATGTTACCATTTGTTGTAGAACTGTTCAAAAAGAAACTGATGATTCGCCACAAACAATAATTTTCTAATCCGTATATCTTTGCAACCTGATGGAAAACTATAAAATTCTGTTAGATCTAATAGTTAAATTTTGCAATATTAATAGTTTTAACAATGATGTTGCAAAAATAAAGTGATAAAAAATTAGAGTTTGTGGCGAGTTTTAAGTTCCTTTATTTTTAATCAATTGAATTGTAATTTATAACAAGATAGGAAGTGCATTATTATTTGCATTATTATATGCATTAATTCCTCGTGCTCAACGAAAAAAAAAACTAACACAACTTTAGGAATATCTTTTCTATCTTGACATTTACAAATTAGATACAAACATTTTTGTATTTCATACAGTATCACAATAGTTACAGTTACAGCCTAGGTACGAACTTTTATATTGTATTCATAAACAACCCAAAACTGAATCTGGCATAAAAAAATGTAATTGCTTAAAAGAAGACTGTGAAAATAATTCATATTTCGGAAGAAGATCTACTTGGAAGATACTTTGAACAGTGTTTGTTGTGTTTACATACCGCAAAGATAGGACAAGTGTTATTTCTCTAATTCAGAAACTTTTGATCATACAAACTTGTAGTCTATGAATATTCCCCCCAACCACGGAGGCAAACTGGGCCGTTTAGAACCAACTCTCAGATAATATGTAATCAAAAACTATAAACTGAAAAGAACAGCAATCTCTTTTTCAGCAGACATTCTCACAAGGGGACAAGTAATGTCGAATTCGTTGCTGCATGTCTCGTCCTACTTTTGAAATAACAACCTCGCGACGAAATTCGTCTGTTCCGTCGCAACAATCACAGATTCCGTCGTTAACTCGACTCGACGGTATTTTCGTCCCGGACAAACAGAAGAAGTGCCCGGACTGACAGGCACTTGTCGAAGGTTCGTCAGATCCATCCAGACAATCACAAAAATCGTCGTTTAGTCTAAATTATCAAAAATGTAATAGATTTCTTTTTAAATTGTTTGATTTTAGATAAATTGGAAAACGTTTGTTCCGAAAAGCCGAAAGTCCTGGGGACAAAAATCCTCTTTTAAAACAAGAAAATCAAAAACTGAATTACTTCTTGCAGTCATTTGACCATTTTTCTACAAAATAAATTAATTTTACATGATTTGATGGTTAGTACCAGTTAATAGGGCAAATATCATGTCAGCATTATTAAAACTATCCTACCTATCATAATTTATAGTTTGATCTAAGAAAAGGCAATTAAATTTTCCATCTTCATTGGGTTTATATTTACTCTGAGAATCATCAGGAACTCCTAGAAAACATGATTTAACTTATTTTCAGTCTTTAAAGGGAGTGACCGGCTATGTAAGGTAGTTGAACTGAGTATGCAGTGTTGTGGAAAACTTCTTTCGGATTCATTTGAGACGTATTAAACATTTTAAAGATTTGTAAATCATGATCTCAACATGTTCCTATACATGACGTCTGTAGTTTATTGTAGAACTTTTTTACATTTTATGTCGTCGTTATTTAATAATTTTAAAAAACTAATTCTGAAAACGTATCCACCCTCAAAGTAGGAGTTTAGAACGTCGAATTTGCACTCAAACTCAGGATTTAAAGATCTTTAGAAGTTTAATACGTCTCAAATGAATCCGAAAGAAGTTTTCCACAACACTGCATACTCAGTTCAACTACCTTACATAGCCGGTAACTCCCTTTAAAGGGACAAAAAGCTTAATTTCATGTGACCTTCCACACAAAGATAAAAATATCTTTATTTATGGGGAAAACATGGAGGGTAAAAACTTTTAACTAGAATTCCTGTTTTTCCTATTTCACACAAAATCTTTCAATCCAATTAGCTCAAAGAATTCTTGAAACTACAGGGTGACTTAACGGAACATGACAGTTGGTCAATAGTTTTAAATGTCTTCTTCTATAAACTGTATTAGATATTAAAAACTTTTTGCTGTTTATTTCGTTAAAAATCTTTTACTCAAATAAAATTACTTTGAAATAAACTTTACTATAATATGACAACAATCTAATATTTCTTATTATCTTTGGTATCTAACAACTTAACAAATTAAGGAAGAAGACATTTAATCTGTTCACCAACTGTCATGTTTCGTGGGACACCCTGTATACTAGTGTATATTGCTATAAATCAATTAAGAACACAATATTTACAAATTGATAAACAATATCTAACAATTTCTAATATTTGAAAAAAATGTTTATAATTTGAAAAAAATGCTCACCTAAAATTTTTCCTAGGCCTTCTTGTTCAACTTTTTTCTTTGCTTTTTGTGCAACTCTAGCAACCTTGTTTAATCCCACTCTGCTCTCTTCCATCTCCTTCGCACGATAAACCTCACGGTTTAATTCAAAATTCTATAATAAAAAGAACTATTGACGAGATGTCAAGAAATCCCCGATTTAAATTCGATTCACAACAATACCCTTTAAATCTTTATCTGAGAAGCAATGGGGAAGATATTGTCGTTTTTCTATCCAAAATTTTTTTTTAATTCTGTAAATTTCATCTTTTATCTCTGCTGCATAAATATGCAACTATCTTATTGTTGTGCAGGTTGAAGAAGACTGGACCAGGAGTAATATTTTATTGTGATCTGACGTTTAGGCGCCATGTAGAATGATATTTTCTCAAACAGAGTTGAAATATTGATCACAATCTTTTCAGAATATTAATAATACAAAATGGATTAAGAGAACATTCTTACTCGATAATCTAGGTACAACACGATTTAGAATGGGGTGGCAAAAGAACTAATATATATATTTAATGGAATATTGTACAGTTTTCTCATTTATTGAGAACAATAGGAAAATCGTATCATCATACTTCTCAAACAGGATTTCTACAGAATACTAAAAATGAAGTAGATGATTGATCTTGAAAACAGTCGAGAAGATGAGTCCTATAGGGTGAGTTAAACACAGCAACTGCAGGTGCAGTCGCTAAACACGTATATATAGAACCCCGTAGGTTATTGAACTATGTTACGTTATAAATTTATAGTAAAAAAAAATGAGAATATTATTTTCGCTCCGTCATGGGTATCGTTGTAAATCGGACATGTCTCTCTATAATTAGAGGGTCCCATAAAATTACGTCTACAGTCCCATTGATGGGAAAAATAACGAATTAGAAAATCTTATAAAAAATGACTGTTCCCCATTATACCTGAGAATCAGCGCTAAGCCAAGACATGAGGATTATCTGAACCGTTATAATTATTGTCGCTAGACACACTACACTCACTAAAATAATTATAATATAAACTTTCACTTTTATTTACTTATCATTTATCTAGTTCTTACCTAGGGGTCTTTTATACAACCAGAAGCGTATAGAGCAGCGCCTATACCATAAACATCGGTAGATTGCGGTTAACATAACAACAAACTAATATTTTAAGATTAATTAATATTTTTCTGGATACATTCTATCATCTGAAACATAAAAGCTTTTATGATGGTTTAGAAAAAAGAGAAAAAAATGTTGTCGACATAAGGGCATTGAAAATACAGGTAATCACATCATCGGGACATTTAATCCATAATTTCTTAGAAAATACGGTTCAGGAGAGTTGTATGGGAGGAGGTCGTTTAAGTTTTCTGTCTTGGCTTCATATCCTCGAAACATGATCGTAGGAAGATATAATTCTTCTTCTGTGTGTTATGATACTCATGACCCTTGCTCCAGTCGTAGGATACAGCATACGCGAATATTTGTCCGTCCTTGTTAAACGCACACTTCGTGATCGACTGCTCGCACTGCTCAGACGTCTTCAACTTCGTACGTGCGTCCTTGTCCCAGAATGAGAATCGTCCGTCTGACCCGACCGTCGCCAAGGTTCCATGGACAGGATGGAACGCAATATCGTTAACGGCAAATATATCCTAGAAGAGAACTAAAATTAAACCTTGAATACTAGATGGATAACAGATAAAATGAACACGCAACAAGTTGTTAACTCTAGACCCCCTGGACAAATTCCCGTGGACGCCCCTGAAAGGAATGTCAGGTTTTGTACATGAATAATTGAAAAATGTCATGCTTGCAAGTTAAACTGAAAGAACTAAAAACAAACCTCTTTCGTCCAGTGAAATAAAAATATATAATAATATTTTCAAAAGAATATCCTGAACGCCAAATGGATATAAATAATATTCTATATAATAAAGCTCTTCGCTTATATATATGATAGCTATAGCTGGCCAAACGGATGGTCCGAATGGGCTGACATTTTTTGAAGGAACCCATGGATACCCTTGGAGTAACATAGGCTAAATAATCGACATTTTTTTCAAAAATAGATTTATTAGATTTCACGGGCAACGCCGGGCACCTCAGCTAGTGTTAAATAAATCAATACATTCAAATTATTTTATAAACAAATAATTATAAAAAACATGTTTATGAATTAATGAATTCATACATTAAAAATACAAATAAATGAGTCGATCAACCAGCAAATAAATTATGATTTAATTTTCACCACCAATTCATCCAATCCTAGAACTAGGTTTAACAAATAAATGATAATATGAATGAACCTGGAATCCGTTGACAGCGCCATTACTTCTATGACACTTGAAGGTGAAGTTATCCTTGGGATTAACAGCTTGTACATACTGTATAGCAACCCTACCTTCAACACTACCCAGAGCAAACCCTAAACAAGAATCATAAAAAAATTACCATTAAAAAAATAAGTTTTCAAATTTTTAGTAAAAAAATTGAATCAGACATCTTTAAATTTGTTAAAAATTAATGTGTTTGCAGGTTTTATGATCGATTCCGTTTAATTTCATATTCTAAATTAGTCCGGAGAAAAATGTCAATCCAGTTAGCAAATTAATGTTACGAGGTTTTATCTTAAATGTTTTTGTTTTTTTACAACAAATTATCGCACAACAGAAAATACAGAGAATGGGTTTCAAGTTACTATTAAAAACAAACAGGATAATTATTATATTGGAATGTCAGGATTCTATTACCCAAATACTGTATCTAGTCTTAAAACGCTTTATGAATAATAATAACAATATTAAATTGTCTATAAGGTCCTGTAATCCATATTTTTAAGAAATCATTAAACAAGTTATAATAACGGATCTAAAAAGAGGTGGATTCTAAGTACAATTTAGTTTCACCTGTAGGGGTCTGATTTTTATCCTTATATATTGAGACACATCTGTGCTGGTACTTGAGTGGGGATTCAACCTTCTTAAACTCCTTGGGTTGACCGTCTAGCTGGTAGATGATAATACCCCGTCCAGCCGTTCCAACAACAGCCATGGGATAGTCCACGTCGGCGCAGTAGGCCCGCTCCGGGAGATCAATACTTAGCATTGGGTTCGGGGACCTCGTGTCCCAGAACTTCAAGGTTTTGTCCCAGCTGCAGGTCATCAGTGCTGTGTAGTTGCTTGCTTTAACCCATCTTACTGCTCTCACGGGGGCCTGGTGTTCTGCAACCTGGACCATATATTCAGTTACAGAGGACACAGAAAGGTTAAGGATGCATTTTGTCAATTTACATTTGGTGAATTTACATTTGGTCAATTTAAAATTGGTCAATTTAAATTTTGTTAATTTAAATTTGGTCCGTTCACAAACAATTGGTCAAAATTGATTTTGTCAATTTAGAATAGGTCAATTTACATTAGGTCAGTTAACAATAGGTCAATTTACAATAGGTCAGTTTACAAAAGGTCAGTTTACAATAGGTCAGTTTACAATTGGTCAATTTACAATTGGTCAATTTACAATTGGTCATTTACAATTGGTCAATTTACACTTGGTCAATTTACACTTGGTCAATTTACAATTGGTCAACTTATAATTGGTCAACTTATAATTGGTCAATTTACAATTGGTCAATTTACAATTGGTCAATTTACAATTGGTCAATTTACAATTGGTAATTTACAATTGGTCAACTTATAATTGGTCAACTTATAATTGGTCAATTTACAATTGGTCAATTTACAATTGGTCAATTTACAATTGGTCAATTTACAATTGGTCAATTTACAATTGGTAAACTTACAATTGGTCAATTTACAATTGGTCAATTTACAATTGGTCAATTTACAATTGGTCAATTAACAATTGTAAATAGTTCAGTTTACAAAAGTCCAGTTTACAATAAGTCAGTTTACAATGGTCAGTTTACAATAGTTCAATTTAAATATAGTCATTCATTTAACTCCCCCCCCCCTTCAACAATTTTAGAGTAGGGGGGTGGGGTCGAAGTAAAATATTCCTAACTGAAGTATACTGAAAGCTACCTGAACTGCTTGATTACTGCCTAGGTCCCAGCATTTAACTTGTTTATCACATGAAGCCATAAACACCTGAAAACACAGATTAAATAACAAAAACAAAATCATTAATTATAAAATACACTTCTCATCAGAAGCATCTTGCCTTGGTCTGATTATATGTTACAAGACGAATATATGATACGGCAACGCATTAAAATAAAATGAACACCGCTAACAATTTAGGGCGCTTCGTGCTTTGTTTCTAATGTTTAAACCGAAAATTGGGACCCTGTTTACATCAATAGACTCTTACAAATTATCAGAAAATATTTTTCAATTTCATGTATTCAGTACGTAGCTAGCAATAACCCTCTCGTGTTTCCCTGGAAGAAACTGAGGGTCCTCAACTCAATATTATTGTATTTTTAAAGCCCCTAACAGAAGCAAAAAAGCCAAAGACACGTGCTCTATTTTATCATTAAGTAATTGTAAATATCCACCTTAGAACCATCATCGCTCCAGCAGCAATCAAGGATAGGTCCGGCCATAGTCTGCTGGGCTTTTGGGATAGATTTACCTGCAGAAAACATTACAATATACAATTCAAAATGCTCCAAAACACTTGGCTTTAGAGGAACACAAAAAAAATAAAAACAGAATTCGGGAAATTAAAAATTTAATTAATGTAGTTTCGGAAAATTAAGTAAAATAATTAATGGAAAATGGACTTTTTTATTCTACAAAACAAAAGTTTATCATCCAAACGTCAAAAATGTTTAATAATAAAAAACTTCAATATATGAGAATATCGTTTACCAGTATTATCAATCTCCCAACAGCGCACGTTGTTATCCCAAGCTCCTTAACAATAAAGGAATTGAGTTCCAATTATGAATTCTGTTAGATCAAATAGTCTAAGTTTGAAATATAAAGGTTTACACCATCAGGTTGCTAAGATATAGGGATTGAAAAATTTGAGTTTGTGACAGAGACGTAATCTCTTTGTTTAAAGTTTTAATCAATTCTGAAATTCACAAGCCAACAACATTAGCATTAACAATATTTACAGCGTTAACTACTTCAACAACGCCAATGACGTCAACATCATCATCAATATCAACGTCCACGTCAACATCACGTCAATATCAACATCATCGACAGCATCAACGACGTAAAGAGCATCAAAATCATCAAAAACATTAACAAATTCAGCATCAACAGCTTACACAACAGACTCAGCATCCTCAATGTCATCAGCATCATCAACAGCATCAACATCATCAACTTCATCAACATCATCAACATCATCAACAGCATCAACATCAGCATCAACATCAACAACATCATCAACAGCATCAACATCATCAACATCATCAACATCATCAACATCATCATCAACAATGTCTACTGCATCAGATGTAAAAAAAATCTTTCCAAATTAGCTTATAAAGCATGATTTAAAGATGTATGACCAGGAAGAAAATCGGAAAATAAGAAATGAGGACATGTCAATGGTGCAGGGGTGTATAAAATTCAAAGACCCAAGAGGAGGGGAAGGGAAGGAAAAAGGGAAGGAAAAAGGGAGGGAAAAGGGGAAAGAAAATGAAAAGGGGAAAAAAGGAAAGTAAAAGAGGAAGGGTAACCACAGAAAAAAGGGATGGGTGGGGAAGGGTGGAGATAGGTAGGGAGAGAGATTAGTAGGTAAGGGGAAAAGTAGGGAAGGGGAAAAGTAAAGAAGGGGAAAAGTAAGGATGGGGAAAAGTTGGGAAAGGGAAGGTCGGAGGGGAAAGGGGAAGATTGCGAGGAAAACGGGAAGGTTGATAAGAAAAGACAAAAATATGGATTAGGGAACTACAAAAGGGACAGGGAAGGTAGGAAAGGGAAAAGGAAGGAGAATGTACGGGGAATGTAGGGTAGGGAAGAAAAAAAATTGATGGAAGGTTGGCAGATCAGAAAGGAAAGGAGAATTTAGGAAAGTGAAGGGTTGGGGCTCTTTACCTCTTCATATCTAACTTTCTCTGAAACCAGACAGTTTTTCAAAAATAATTTTCCCCGATCGTTATACATAAAAAAAAAGTTATACAAATTTCATTAAAAAATATGATAAAAGAATACCCATTACTCAATCATTTTTCCAAATAGTCAGTTTATTAAAAAAAATTTTGCGCAAAAAATTTTACGCTACGCGCACAAACTAAGAAAAAACTATTTTTTTTCAAGAACTTGAGGGAAACCACCCTCCAACTAATATAATGGGAAATGGTTACAAAGAAAAAAAATACTCCTGGACTAACAAATAATCAATCAAAACTTCTTGGCCCGTACCACCATCCCAAAAGTTAAAAAATATTTGCCTGCGGCCCCATCTATGCAAAATGCATCCTTATGGGGTTTATTATACACTGCATTATAAATCTTTAAATATGTTGTCTTTTTAGTTATCGAATTTGGGAAGGAAATCAAATAAGAAGGGGGAATAAAAAATTGGAATTATATCAGTGTTTCGGATCCGGATCCGGATCCGTATCAGGAAACGTTGATATGGATCCGGGTAGCGCCAAAAATTAACCAAAACCATGGAATAAATAAATCAAAATGGTTCGTAAATGTATTATTTACATGACGAAAATTTTTCAAAATTATCTTTAATAATTTAATGTTTACATTTATATAATAGTAATGACGACATTTTTAACTTTAGGATTACTATAGTTTATAAATTATAACCTTGCATAACATTTAATAGGGAAAATCCGATTCACAGAATCAAAAGTTACCTCGGATCCGGATCCGTATCAGGATCCGGATCCATCATCACGGATGCGGATCCGCGGATCCGGATCCGAATCAAAATGATATGGATCCGAAACACTGAATTATATACACCCCCGCAATGGTGTGTCACAAGAATTTGGTCGGTCAGAGCGTTTAATTGCATCTACTATCATCTATTTTTTTATATAAAAATGTCTAAAAATAAAATTCTCTTCAACTAATAGTTTTTAGTAAAAAAAACATTAAAAAATGTATTACTTTATAAATTATTAATCCGAGTTTGAGGAAGAAAAAATGAGGAAAATACTAACCTGAGACGAGAAAGTTTGCTGTCGGAGAGAAAGCGAGACTTGAAATAGAATCATCTGATGGATTCTGGATTTCATAATCCTTATTTGGGTTTGATGCAGAAGCTACAAAATAGTCTTTTTACAAGCTTTTAGAGGCGTTTTAAGAATTCTTTTTGATTCTCGAAGAATTTTATCATTTTCTAAATAATGGCTCCTTCAGAGGGTTCGGGGAGTAACTAATTTCAAGAAAAGTTACCGTATTGAAACCCCATTAGTTAAGATTTTAAACAATGATTGTTATAAACTCTGTCTGGACTTTATTTCAGGATTTTTAAAAACTTATTAATACCCCCCCCCCCCCCCGGGAAGAAATATTTTTCAGTTAAAATGTCATTTTAGCTTTACACAAAAGTTTTAATTTGTATAGGGGAAAAAATATTTTCAAGGAGAGAGATGATGTTTTCTTGAGGTCTACCATGTATATGGCTACCTGCTGTAGTTCCAAAAGAAGTTGATCCCCCACCTACGAAGGAGGACTGTCCGAACAACGCCATTTTCACCAATTATTATTTCTGAAAAAAGTTGATTTAAATTTTAACACCAGGCTACCCAAATGTGTATATAGTATAAAAACTAGCCCCCCAAATGGGAGAGCAATAATCATTGAAGATAAGAGGGGGGGGAGGGGAAATTGTTTATTGTTTACATTCGACGAATGTAAATAAACTCAGCGCGTATTCCAAGTTAGTTTTAATTCGTCTCACTAAGTAAAAGATTGGAGTAAATTATTTAGTAAAATACGTTTCAACCGATACAGATTTCTTCCATCAACGATTTTTGAAAGGTCATAATAAAAGCGTTAATTGAATTGAGAGGGGGTCTAGGTAAGGTTACGGTCGTTCTCTAGGAATATACCTATGGGTCAGTTGTATGAAAAAAATTCTTGAAATGCCAATGCAGTTACATTAAATGTTAAAATTTTTAATAGAACGCAGAGAAATTTTCTTCAGAAGAACGGATATGTCGGTTTGAGGAGTTTGAGAGAGTGCCGCGTGTGACGAGAGATTAGAAAATATACATTTATTCGTCTTCGTAAATAAAAAGTTTATCGATAAACAACAATACATGAGTTTAATTGAAATTTAAATTCTAAATGGTCAATGGTCATTTAGATTAAATTAACAGGGGCGGATACCTGTACACGAATTTTTGCCGAATTCATGGAGTGCGCAGACCCAGCATACGATTAATCAATTATTTAGAACATCTTATCAAATAGGAATAATGTTTACCTCAANTAGGTTCAGATCTTGGAGATTATTGTTGTGATAGCTGTTATTTTGTCTAACTAGGGTTTCTTTCAGAGCAGTAATGGATAACATTGTACCTCCGGGCAGTGATGCGCCTGGTGTTTTCACTATTCAGATTCATGAAGTTGAATTGTTGAAAAAGCAAATTGCTGAGTTAGCTGCGGACAAAGTTAAAATTAAAGAAATGGCGCGCGAAGGCCAGAAAAAAGGGGAAATCGCAAAGCATAAGTCGCCTCAAATTAAAAGATCTTTAGGGTTCCTCTATGAGGTAAATTGGGGATTGGAGGACGCCGAGGAGGCTCTGGATAGTCTTTCGACTTATGCAGTAGCGCCAGAGAATGCTGAGTTGTATTCTGAAAAGATCACTGCTACAATTTCTAAGCTTAAGAAATTACAAGAGTTAGTGAAGGATGAAGTTACAGCTAATAAGATTGCGAGTAAAGCTAATTTTGGCTGGAAAACAGTTAAGCTGTTTGAGAATGATTCTATTTTCGAAGGTGAGAATGCGGAGACTCTTTCTAAGAAGCTTAAATCGGCCGAGTACCAGGCTTCTCGAGAATATTTTAGGGGTAAGAGAGGGTTTTTGGGCAAGCGACGTTTTTCTGGCAAGCCTTCGAGATGGGACTCTTCTCCTGCTCCTGCAGCTTCCTCTACTACTGCTACTGTAACAAGTGCTCCTGTTAAACTATGTTACAAATGCAATCTTCCGGGTCATTTTCAGCTTAAATGTCCTAACTAAACAGTTTATTTTCTCGGAATTTTTTAATTCAGTCTACTTTATTCTGTAAAAATTTTTTAATTTCAGGTTGTTGTTATTTTCTTTAGATTTGGCACTGTTTTCTTTTTCTTTTTCTTTTTTGTTTGTGATAAAGAATTTTTTATTTGTAAGTTCAGGGTTTGTTTATTTTTGTTATAATTTGTTTTGTTTTATTTCAGGAAAATGGTTGAAACGGCAGATTTTTCAGTTTTTACTGTAGATTTTAATCCTAGTGAACAGAGTCTAGCTGAGACTCTTGTTAATAATTCAAATTATGTTGGTAAAAAGCTTACAACGGATTTAAGAGTTCCAGGAAGGATAGGAAATCCAGAATTTTATGATTTTTGGAAATATGAACTGAAGGCTTCAGATTTTATCCTTGATACTATCAAGAATGGTTACAAATTTCCTTTTTTAGATTTACCTCCAGGTGGATTTCATAAGAACAATAAGAGTATGCTTGATAATAGTGATTTTGCTTTAGCAGAACTTCTAAGATTGGAGCGTCTAGGTTGTATCTCTAGAGCTGAAGAGCAACCTTTTCTTTGTCTACCTTTGTCGGTAGTTTTTAGTAAAAAATTGAGGTTAGTTTTTAATTTCATTGTTTGTTTGTTTTTTCAGTTAAAAAAAAAAAAAAAAAAAAATTTCATTTTTATGATTGTTGTCTAACTTTATTCAGATTAGTTGTGGATGCTAGCAGGCATTTGAATCCTTTCCTTGAGGATAGGAAGATTAAGTTGGAGGGCCTAGATGTTCGAGAGCAGATTTTGCGTCAAGGAGATTTCCAGACTAAGGCAGATTTAGACTCAGGCTATTGGCATGTTCCTCTTTTTGAAGGGCACAAAAAGTTTGTGGGTTGTCATTTTTTACATCAAGATGGGAAAGTTTCCTTTTGGGTGTGGAATGTCTTATTTCTAGGAATCAAAGATGCAGTTTGGATTTTTACTAAACTGTTAGTTCCACACAAAAGATATTTGAGAAGCAAGGGTATAAGAATGTCAATTTACATTGATGATCAAAGTGTTTTAGGTTCTAGTTATAACGATTGTTTAGCTAATACGCAAATTGCTTTAGACTCTTTAGCTAAGGCTGGTTGGGTAGTGAATTGGTCTAAAAGCTCTGAACCACCAGTACAAGACATGGTTTTTCTGGGTTTAGTTAATTGCACCAAAACAATGAAATACTTTGTACCGGAAGACAAGCGTGAAAAAATTTGTGATTTAATTTCTTCGATTTTAAGATCCAAAAAAGTTCACATTAAAACTTTAGCCAAGCTCATGGGGAAACTTCAGTTTTGCATTAAAGCATTTGGTCCGTGTATTAGACTTCTTTGTAGATCTTCGTATCATTTGATTTCTAAAGCTTCTTCCTGGAATAGTATGATCACGTTGTCTAGTTTAGCTATTAGAGAACTATCATTCATTCTAACTAATTGGAATGATATTAATGGTTTTCCCATTAGAGCATCTTTATCTGAAACTAAAGTTAACATTGAACTGTGTAGTGATTTAAGTGATGTGGGAACTTGTGTTTACCAGGTTTGCTCAGAATCTAACGAGATTTTGTTAAAACAAGTTTTTTTCTGCTGAAGATTCTAAAAAGTCTTCTACTTTCAGGGAGCTTTTAGCTTTCCATTATTTTTACACTGGTCCTAAAGCTTACGTTTTTAAAGATTTAAATATTGTGCATTACACTGACAATTTAAACTGTGCTACTATTTTGTCAGTGGGTTCTAGAAATTTTTCTCTACAACCCTTAGTTTTAGATATTTTCTTAGCTTGGAAGAGTTTAAATGTCAAAGTGTCCGTTATTTATTTATCTAGATCTGATCCAAGAATTGAATTTACTGATTTTCATTCTAGAAATTTTGATCTGCATGATTACAGTTTAGATTTTGATAATTTTCTCTTTGTTTCTTCTATTTTTGGCCCTTTTGATGTGGATTGTTTTGCTTCAGATTCTAACAAAAAATGCTGTACTTATTTTTCTAAATATCCAGATGAATTTTCTAAAGGGGTCAATTTTTTTGCCCAATCTTTACATGTTAATGTTAATTATTTTGCTTTCCCTCCTGTTCATTTGATAATTCCAGCTATAATGCATTTTGCTAAGTTTAAATCTGTAGGATGTATTATTGTCCCTATTTGGGTTTCATCGCATTTTTGGTATTTCATTTGTGAAGACGGAAAACATTTGAACTTCTGGATTAAAAAGTTTTTCATTTTCAGTCCGGAATTTATTTCTGGTCAGCATGTTAGGAATGACATGTTCAAAGGGGTTAAAAAATTCAACTCTTTGGCTTTAAAGTTTGATTTTTCGGCAAACAATTGTTTTCAGTCTCAAAAATCCAAAAAGTTTTGTTTAAGTCAAGATTGTTTTATTTGTTCTTGATATTATTGTCTTATTTCTTTGCAGAAAAATGTTTAAAAAGTCTAAAGATCCTAGCAGGGTGATAAATTTGGTGCAAGCAGTGAGACAACCCACTAGTTTAGGGGGTGTCACTGAAGAATTTGATTCTTACAAGGCTAAAATTTCAAGCTATTTGAGTTCAAGCTTAGCTACTTCAACAAGTGAAAGCTATTTTTTGAGTTTTAATAGGTTTTCAAAGTTTTGCGTGGAAAACAATGTTCCAGTGTTGCCCACAAATGTGGAAGTTTTTATGACTTTTTTAATTAAAATTTCTGAAGAAGCAGGTTCTGCTGCCCCTGCTAAGCTCATGAGAAGTGCTGTGAGACATTTTAACATTTTAAACAATCCTTCTCAACCTTCTCCTACAGATAGAGAAGACATATCTCTTTTAATAAGGAGTTTTGATCGTAAATTTGCAAAGCCAGTTAGAAAAAGTGATCCTACGACAATTGTTATTGTTCGAAAATTGATTGATTCGCTTCTGAACGGAGACCAATTGCGATTTTTTAATTTTCAAAAATCGGTAGAAGACTGGCAATTAGTTGCAAAGACTGTTGTAAAATTTTATTGCTTTGCAAGATTTGAAGAAGTTTTAGACTTGAAACTTTCTAATTTCGATTTTCAACCTTCAGGACATTTGGTCGTAACTTTTTTCAAAAGTAAGAATAATCAATTTCACGATGCGAAGAAGTGTACTATTGCTCCGGCGGAAAATGCTCTTTATTGTCCGGTAAACATTGTTAAAAAATATATTGCTGTAATGAATTTTCCCAAAGATTCTAGTGTTTATTTTTTGCCGCGTTTTGTCCAGGGAACTCCTAAATTTTTGTTGAAGACAAATTATGCTTATTGTGTTTCTAAATTCAAGGCGGGTTTATTGAAAATAGGAGTAAATCCAGAAAAATTCGGAGAACATAGTGACAGAATTGGAGGGTTGTCTGCAGCAGCTAATGCTGGGTGCTCCATAAGTGAGCTACAAACTCATGGCAGATGGAAAAGTGATTATGCACCTAAATTGTATCACAAAAAATCTTTGTTTCAGAAGGAGAAAGTTTCAAATGTTTTGAATGAATTGTAATTTTCTATTTTATTTTTCGTTCATTGAAAAATTTTTAAGCTTTATTTGGACAATTTTGTGTTTTTGGTTTTAAATTCATTTTTTGATTTTAAACATTTAAAGTTTGTTTTAATCTGTTCTATTTAGTTTCATACAGAATGGTTTTCTGCAGACAGCTATCTTAGAACCTCGCTGGGTCATCATCATCTTATGGTGGAGGAAGGTACAGGACAGGGGATACCTTTGGTAAGTCGTTAAGAAATTGTGCCGATTTCTATGCGCAGCGGAGAAATCGAAATTTCTTATGACGCCCCTAGTACTGTTGTGTATGGAGTGTTTGGTCTGAAACTGGTTTTGCTAAGGTTGTACTGTGTACAGGTGTATTCGGTCTCAGTCAGGCTTCGACCGAAGGCAGGTGACCGGGTTCGTTAAATTTATTTTCAGTTATAGAAAGGCACTGAATTTTTTATATTTAGTGCAGTCTCTTTTTATGTAGGCTAACTATAAAAGGAATGTTTGTTTTAGATTCCAAAGTTAGGAAATTTTTCTCATAACCCTGACGAAATGAGGGGGAGAAATTGAATTTCCGTCACTAGTGTTTTTTACTAGTTTTAGGTTCAGATCTTGGAGATTTTTGTTGTGATAGCTGTTATTTTGTCTAACTAGGGTTTCTTTCAGAGCAGTAATGGATAACATTGTACCTCCGGGCAGTGATGCGCCTGGTGTTTTCACTATTCAGATTCATGAAGTTGAATTGTTGAAAAAGCAAATTGCTGAGTTAGCTGCGGACAAAGTTAAAATTAAAGAAATGGCGCGCGAAGGCCAGAAAAAAGGGGAAATCGCAAAGCATAAGTCGCCTCAAATTAAAAGATCTTTAGGGTTCCTCTATGAGGTAAATTGGGGATTGGAGGACGCCGAGGAGGCTCTGGATAGTCTTTCGACTTATGCAGTAGCGCCAGAGAATGCTGAATTGTATTCTGAAAAGATCACTGCTACAATTTCTAAGCTTAAGAAATTACAAGAGTTAGTGAAGGATGAAGTTACAGCTAATAAGATTGCGAGTAAAGCTAATTTTGGCTGGAAAACAGTTAAGCTGTTTGAGAATGATTCTATTTTCGAAGGTGAGAATGCGGAGACTCTTTCTAAGAAGCTTAAATCGGCCGAGTACCAGGCTTCTCGAGAATATTTTAGGGGTAAGAGAGGGTTTTTGGGCAAGCGACGTTTTTCTGGCAAGCCTTCGAGATGGGACTCTTCTCCTGCTCCTGCAGCTTCCTCTACTACTGCTACTGTAACAAGTGCTCCTGTTAAACTATGTTACAAATGCAATCTTCCGGGTCATTTTCAGCTTAAATGTCCTAACTAAACAGTTTATTTTCTCGGAATTTTTTAATTCAGTCTACTTTATTCTGTAAAAATTNTATCACTTTACTAAATCAAAGAATTATTTGAAAAGACGATATCGAATTCGTCACTGAATTCCCATGTTTTTTGGGACACCCTGTAGATATGTGTGTGATGAGCTAAAGTATATCTGTTTTTATTGAATATTAAATTGATATAAATATATATATGTATATTTATTAGTAGCGTACACAGGGGGGGCAGTAGTCCTCTTGCACCCCCCCGTGGGCATCCTGCAGGGGAGGACCCTGCCCCCACCCCTGGGATTTTTGGGCAAAGGTAAAAATAAGGGTAAAAAAAAGAGCTTGCCCTCATCATCAAAGGGGTGTTTTCCTTTTTAAAAAGTATAGTTGAAAATTTTCTTGGCGCGAAGCGCCATTTATTTTCAAAAGTTACCTTAGTATTTCCCTTTTATCTAAAATCTCCACCCCACTGCATACTTGATAAACAACTATAGATATAATATGCATTAATGCACAGACGCGTACACAGGGGTGGGGCAGTAGTCCTCGTGCCCCCCCCCCTGGGATTTATGAGCAAAGGTAAAAATCAGGTGTTCTGGGTAATAAAAAAGAGCTTGCCCTAATCATCAAAAGGGTGTTTTCCCCCTTAAAAAGTATAGTTGAACACTTTCTTGGTGCTTTGCGCCATTTGTTTTTAAATTTTACCGTTGTATTTCCCTTTTATCTAAAATCTCCACCCCCCACCCCCCCGCATACAATTGATAAACAACTATAGCTATATATGCATTATGCAAGCGTTTGGCATGTTTTTCCGAAAATACTGAAGGATACATTTAAATATTAATAGTCCGTGGACTACAAAGGTAAATAGTCTCAGGAATTGAGAGAACTATACAGAGGGATACAGTCCTTGAATCGGGACTACAATGGACTACAATTATAGGAGAGTAGTCTCATGAGACTACTCAGGACTTCAGACCGGGCAATACAGAACTATACAAATGGACACTTTGTAATATGTAGTCCTAGTGAATTGCAGACTACAGTGCAGATCACTAGAAAGGGTAGTTATAGTCTCAGGAGACATACTCAGGACTTCAGAGAGTAACAGAACTAAACAGAGGGATACATTAAGTAATATATATATAAGTAAATTCTTAACTTTTTTGGATTTGGAGCCAACTTCAAAAAATGGATAAATATTCTTTTACATAATTTCAAGGCATGTATTAATCATGCAGGAAATATATCTGAATTTTTTAATGTCGCCTGCGGCTGTCGACAGGGTGACCCAATTGCGGCAGCTCTATTTGTACTTAGTATTGAAATTCTGTGTATTAAACTTCGCTCATCTCCCAGCGTTTCAGGATATAAAATCGAAAATCGAGAAATACTTTTATCATTATATGCTGATGACTGCTCAATTTTTCTAGAGTACGATGCCAATAACTTAGAAAATGCCATCATGATACTTAATGATTTTTATTGCGTCTCCGGGCTCAAAATTCATTTAACCAAAACCCAATGTGTAGTTTTTGGGCATATACCAAATGTTAACTACAAACTTTGCGAACATTTATCATTAAAATGGGATCAAAAATTCAAATTACTTGGGGTTGAATTTGATGGAATGTTGGAAAACATGAGCATAAACTATGAAACTAAGATTAAAGAAATGAGCTATATCATGAAGTCCTGGCAATATAGATTTATAACACCTATAGGCCGTAACTGCATAGTTAAGACTCTACTTCTCTCTAAATTGTCTCATTTATCATTTGTACTTCCAGGACTAGATAGGAAAAAACTAAAAGAAATCGAATCTGAAATATATCAATTTATATGGGGAGGCTCTGAAAAGGTAGCCAG